CCCACAGCAGGCCCTCCGCACCACAGCTGCTTTCTCTGCAGCCTGTCTTCACTCTGCCCTTGTAAATCCCTCCCTGAGACCTTCTCCCATCTCATGGGCCTGAGATGCATTTCCCCCATGCTTCTGTTGAGGAAGAGGAAAGGTCTGGAGGCTCCCAGGGACCATGCAGTGCCAGGCATCAAACCCGGGCACATTAAGGATGTGCTTATCACCCTGAGTCACTTTCCTCTGTTTTTGCATATTTTTCAGTGTTGTCTGTACTGGTTTCCCCACCCCTCATCTTCCATCTATTCTGTTATAGTGGGGCTTCCACCCACAGCACTGTAGAAGCTATTTCCATCAAAGTCAGTTTTAAGGCCATTATTCCCTGGATCTCCCATCTCCCATTTCTCTTGCAAGAAACTCATTAAGCATATGCTGTTGGAGAGTGGGGTAAGAACATGGTATATGTAGACACGGAGTCATGATAACCCAGAAGAGATTTTCAATTCCTAGAGAAGTCTAGGAATCATGTGGTTGGGAGGAGAAGGTCTCACAGCCCTTGGTGCAGCAGGAGCCTCCCAGGACAGCCTGTGGGGGACCATGTGCATGTGTGCTGGGTTGGGGTACAGGCGGGAGAATAAATCCCGCCTCACCGTGGCTCTGTCATCAGTACACCCCACGCCTTGCATGGACCAGCCTCATCCTCTTCATAGAGGAGGATGTAAAACAATGAACTCTATTTTCAGCATTTGAGCCTGAGGATACTCCATGGAGCTGCCCCGATTAAATTTTCTTTGAAGTTTGGGCAAATGTTCTAGAAGTGGAGGAACATTCCACTTCTAAAACATTCAAGAATATTTCACTTCAAGACACAGCGGTGAAGAAAAAAAATGGTTGGAGGGCTCCACAACTCCCGGAGAATTCTCCAGTCCCCATCCAGAGCCGATATCACTGGGAGGACCCAGATGGGGTAGGTGCTGTCTCCCCGCCTTCTCCAGATGGAATCCTGGTGACCATGAGCTTCTACAAGCATGGCTCTGGCATGCGGGTACCAGGACTATTTTTTGAACCTTGCAGCCGCTTATGCAGCCGTGTGACATTTCCATGCAAGGTGATCAATGGAAAGTAAATGATCTAACATTTGTCCCTGAAAAACAGGCTTGAATGGTGATGGGAAAATATGAGCAAAATATAATGCCTAACCGAAATGCATCTGGACTGTGTATTGAACTATGGTGTTATGCCATCCTGGGAGGGGAAGGGTGTCTGTCCCTCCGCCTCTCTCCCTTTGCGGTGGTGGCATGGTGGCCTGCATCTTTTAGAGCCTAATGAACAGCCAGGTATGAGACTGCATTGACGAGGCACATGAGGCTTCATGGGATGGGGAGTGGAATTGGCCCTGCTCCCCGCCATGACAATGCTCCGGGTTGCCACCCTCAAATGCCTCTTCTGGCTTCTGACCAACCATTAACCCAGAGGTACACATACCAATCTCGGAACCCAGGGACTTCTGGCAGTAATCCCTCTAGGTTTATTACTAAAATATCAGAAATCCAAATTCGCGTGGCTGCCATTGTGGTCACACAACATCATATGCTCTTCATAATCAGAAAACAAATTATCTAATGATGTCTTTGTGGCAGGTCTGAATGTTGGGGAAAATTCCAAATAACAGTGTTGGGTCTTTTGTCGTAATATTGAATGTGGTCAACGTAGAGAGAGTAAAGTGGAAATCTGCCACACAGGCAGCAGGTGGGTGAGAGGGGGGTATACTGGGGGTCTTGGTGGTGGAAAATGTTCCCTGGTGAAGGGACGGGTATTTGATCATTGTATGATCAACCAAGACTTGAACTGAAAGGCTTTGTGACTGTTCTCATGGTGATTCAAAAAGAAAGAAAGAAAGAAAGAAAGAAAGAAAGAAAGAAAGAAAGAAAGAAAGAGAAGAAAGAGAAGAAAGAGAAGAAAGGAAGGAAGGAAGGAAGGAAGGAAGGAAGGAAGGAAGGAAGGAAGGAAGGAAGGAAGGAAGGAAGGGAGGAAAGAAAGAAGGAAGGAAAGAAAGAAAGAAAGAAAGAAAGAAAGAAAGAAAGAAAGAAAGAAAGAAAGAAAGAAGAAAAAAGATAGCTCTACCCTTGAGGAGTTAAGGTTTAGTTGAAACTTCTAAAGGCCATCTATAGACATACCTGTTACAGTAACACTCAACGTCTGAAAAAAATATTCTAAGACAGCACACCTGTATCTGGTATAATGTAAGCATAACATGTTCATGAGAGTATCATTTAAAATGAATGACCTGACACTAAGGAAAATAGTGCAAAGAGGTAGAATGCATACCTTAAATGGTCAAGGTTCCAAATTCAATCCATGGTTCTCTATGCCCCTCAACCCCCAGTCACTGTGGGATATGACCCTAATGATCCCCAGCACCATTAGAACCGAGCAGCACTGCATGATCAAGTATACAACGTTCAGCCTGAGAATCACCCACTAAACGATCACTGCTCCCCAGACTCCTGACCACAGCTGAGGAAATACTTAGGATAAATAAACTAGTAATAAAATAAATGTTCTTTAAATTAAACAATTGATTGTAACAGAAATGGTTCTCACATTATACTAATAAAAATGAAGCTTGTGAAGGAATTTAGGTGGCTTGGCTTTAAGAATAGTTAATGGAATTTCAACATATTTGATAAACAAAATAAAAGCAAAAGGCTATGGAGTTTCTCAAAAAAAGAATATTCCACTTCAAGAGCATTCTTAAGTTTCACCAGTAGTCAGAGGGTGGGTGACCTGGGATCAGGCAGAGTTAGAGCACTGTGGGGACAGCAGAGCGCCTTGAGGGTCCCCATGGTGGGAAGCTCATGGACATCCTGAGACGTGGGGTGAAGGCAGGTTCAGGGAAAGAAGGCAGACTGGTTCTGCTTTGGCTGCCCCACTCCACAAGCCCTCAGCCTCTCTCCTTTGTTCTAAAGTGGGGAAATAAGGGAAATTCCATAGACCTGTTTTCATCCTAAAAGTACTGTGTGGCTGTATTCAACAGTTTGTGCAACAGATTAGGTCCTGGAAGGATATGATTTGTTTCTTACAAAAGCTGAAAGTCCAAAATCAAAGCACCAATATACATTGCTCCACTGAGAAATGCTTCTGAACTGAGTCTTTAAAGGCATGCTTGGGTCCCAGAATGCGTGCGTGAGTGTACGTGTGAGTGTGTGTGTGTGTGTGTGTGTGTGTGTGTGTGTGTGTGTGTGAGAGAGAGAGAGAGAGAGAGGAGTTCATGGAAAACAGTGTGAGAAGAGAGAGCTTGAATGCTTGATTGTGAGTTTGATAAAAGCATGGGTGCACAAGACTATAGAGTTTAGTGGCTGAGAACTGTTCCCCTAGCCAGTCCACGGGAGACAGACGAAGGACTGGGAGGATGGAGGTTGCAGGTTGGTCAGTAGACAGTTTATTTCTCTCCCTCCCCAATGTAGTTCAATCTCTCCCCTTACAGCATAGTAATTTCTCCTCTTTTCCCCATCATCATCATCATCATCATCATCATCATCATCGTAGTTGTAGTCATCATAGTTCCCTTTTCCCTAGCCTCCTCTCTCTTCCTCTTACAGCAGAGTTATATAGAAACAATGAAGAATAGGGGTACACACAGGTGGAGTCGAACATTGTCATAACAACAAACAGAGGTAACAAACAGCCAATCCATCACTGGAAGTTCTAGGAGATTGACTCAAGGACAAAACCTCATCTGAGGGTTCAGCATTCCAGATTACTAGGAGATCCGCTCAAGGGTGGGATTCCATCCAGGGTGTATTGCTTTCTCCTCCCCTCAGCAAGTAATCTATTTAACCAATCATAGTAAATTTACTTCTAATAATATTTCTAGTCATTTTGTATGAACGCAGGAGAGCTATATTAAGCTTAAAGGTTGGCTCTTCCTGGGGACATCTCGCTATATATCCCAGACTACAGTCCTCAGGTCAGGTTAGTCTTTCCTAACCCCAGCAGAGTCCTTATTCAGTCACTTCTCTTTTGGGTCATTACAGAGTTTGTTCCATGACCATGCTCTTAACTTATTATACTTATGGCACTTAGCTTATCCCATTCACTGCCAGGGTAGTTCACAGTTTACCCTGGGTTCATCCTTGTCCCTTGTTGGGACCCTCCTTTTGGTGCTAGGAAAAAAGGGCAACTGAGGCTTAAGTCAAGTAAATATGTTGGATGCCCAGGAGTAAATATTATTTGTAGTCAATTAACTCCCAAGTTACAAAAACATAGCATCAACTGTCTTCCTGTGTTTATACAAAAAGGACATTGCTAAACAAACTATGCAAATGACATAAAGGAAAGAGAAAAGCAATATAGGATTGCCTGATGGAATTGGGTGTGCTTCAGGGGCACTGTTGTGGAAGTAATTCAATATACCTCAGCTCCCTGAGGAGAAGCAAGGACAACTCTATGTTATCCAACACTTGATGATCTCTCTCTTTCATAGGGATACCAGTCCATCAGACTGTCCCAGATTTATGGCCTCATTTCACCTTAACCACTTTTTTAAGGCCTCCTCTCCAAATACCATCCCACAGTTCTCCAATGTATGAGTCGAGTGGGGACACAGTTCAACCCATAATAATACAATGTTGGAGCCAGAGATAGACAGTACAGTGGGTAAGGTGTTTGTCTTACACGGGGCTGGCTACAGTTCAGGCCCCTGTATGGTTCCCTGAGCTAGGAGTGAGGAAGAACTTCCTGGGACAGCATTGCAGGGTCATGCACTCATTTGTATGATCCTGGGCTGGTACCATCACACAACTCAAGCCTAACCCACTCATGAATCTCTGATCCCTGAGCACAGAGCCAGTAGTAAGCCCTGAGCACACTCAGATGTGGCCCCCCCCTCACTAGCCCTCACCCCAAAAATAGAATACAAAATGAGTATTGAGAAAAAACAGTGGTGGCATACACAAAAAGGAGCACTTGAAAGAGAACAGGGAGAAATCAGGACACACACCAGAGAACTATGGATGGAGCAAGTAAGACTTCCTCTGAAATTGGGAACAGGAATTCATCGCGGTGTGTGGAGGGAGCGTCAAAGGGTGATGTGGGGAGGAGACAAGAGTTGCTGCCAGTATAAAAAGTAGAAAGTGCTGGGGCCAGGGAGTTGGGGTGGGAAGCAGAGTTTTGCTTGGAAAATCCTTGAGAACATCTACCAGCAGAGTTAAGGGGTGGTAGAATATATTTAGGAGCGAGACTGGCTAGTCTCAAGCTCCCAAGAGAACGGGCTGCAGATGAGGACCCCTCATCTTCAGAGAGATCAAGGTGCCAGTAGGACAGTGGAACAAAGAGAGAATCTGCAGGGAGAGAAAGAGGAAGAAAAAGGAGATAAAGAGGAAATTCCCATTTGAGAGTCTTTTTGCTAAATGAATTGAAAGGCCAAAGAGGACAGAGTGTGGAAAGGGTCAGAAGTTGGAGACAATGGTTTGTTGTGGATTTTTGGAGAGACAAAAAAACCTGGCTGGCACAGCAGGGAGTGTACTTGCCTTGCATGGGGCTGACCCAGATTCAATCTCCAGCACCAATACGGCCCTCTGAGCACCACCAGGAGTGATCGTTGAGCACTGCTGGATGTGGCCCAAAGAGAGAGAGAGAGAGAGAGAGAGAGAGAGAGAGAGAGAGAGCTAACTGCCGACCAGAAAAAGAACCAGTGGGCAATACGCTCCCCAGCCAAGCTGATTTGGTAACCGTTGGCCTGGACTGCTGGGGGTAGAGGGAACAAGGGGGTAGATGATTTTGCTGACCTGGTTTTGCAGGGCTGGGAGGGCTCTGCGGAAGGACAGGAATGCAAGGGAGAGAGGGCCCTGGAGGAGGCCGGGTGGTTAGGGAAAGGAGAAACTCAGGTGAGTATGCTGATGGGTAGGTCTGAGGGCCAGGGGAAGTGGGAGGGGCAAATCCAAAGATGAGGAAGTTCACAGGTGGATGGTGGGGGGGGGGGGGGCGGGAAGAATGGGAAAACTAAACAGAAACCCCAGTGGTCAGATGAGGGGTCGGCGTGGGGAAGCTTCCAACTAAGGACCAGATCCAGGGGTGGTCAGGGGAGTGGCAGGAATAGGAAGTTGTGTGTGTGTGTGTGTGTGTGTGTGTGTGTGTGTCTATGTGTGTGTGTGTGTGTGTGTGTGTGTGTGTGTGTGTGTTAGGTAAAGTTCTGTCAATTTGCTTGTTCAAAGCAGCTCACACATGGGAAAGTGTCACTGGAGATGATTCTGGTGAAGGACCGGGGTCGCCTTCTTGTCAGTTCCAATTCTTCAAAATTAAATTTCACTCCGCGGCAGCATTGCCAACTCCCGTGTACGCACTTTTCATAATCTCTTTCTCTCTTCTCCCTCTCTGCCTCCATCTCTCTGTCTCCCTCTCTCCCCACCACTACCCAGGTGTCTCTCCTGCTCTGTGACTCCACCCAAGATGAGACAGCTCTTGTCCAAGGTCCAGATGACAATGACAATGACAGAACGCACACAGATCCTATATCCACCTCAGCCTCTTCCTCTTCCTCTTCCTCTGGTTCACTCTGGGAAATTTCTGGGTCTTTTCCATTTACCTGCCTAATTTCACACCCCCTTTCGAGCAGCCTTAGAAACCTTGCAAAAGAACACTGTACCTTTTTGCAGTTGGGGTTCTCATCCTCAGTCATGCGTGTGGGCCTAGCTCACCCTGGGCAGCACTTGTGCTTATGTTTGGGCCAGGCAGAGACTCACTGTCACTGAAGAATGAGTCCCACCCACTTGGCATGTGTTCATTCACACACTCAGACACATGTACATTCATGCCCACTCACTCATATGTGCACACTCGTACACACACTAGTGCCCACACATTCATGCCTAAACACTCATGCCCCCACACACTCATGCCTGCACACTCTTACACACACACTCACACACATGCACAAACTCATGTCTGTGTCCGCATATTCATGCGCATACCCATCCCTGCACACACTCATGCAAGCTCACACTAATGCCTGACCACTCATAAACACAAACTCAGGCACACACACGTGTGAACACAGAGATGCATATCCTCAGACGCATGGACACATGCACTCACACACACACACACACACACACGCACACACTCTCATGCCCACACACATGGTCAGACTCACTCATGCCCACACTCACTCATAGCCACACACACATACTCAGGCACATTCACGCATGCAGATACTCAAGAATATATTCAAGCACACACACTCATGCATATATACACTCATGAACACACAGTCAGAGACATACATGCTCAGGCACATGCAGGCACACACATTGCACATACTTGTGAATACACACATGACAATGCTTAAGTGCACACTCAGGAACATGCACACTAATACACACATGCAAATACTCAAGCACATCAACATCCATGCACACACAGGCACACCCACTCATGCGTGTACTCAAGTACACACACGTGAACACACTCAGACATACGTGAATTCATGCACACACTTGCAGAACAGCTTGCTGTACTGGCAGTAAAAGCTTCCCTGCAGGCACTAGGGAACATTCTGAGTATTCCCGCTGACTAAGGAAGCTCTTGTCCGCCTGGGCCTGGGAAAGGCACTTCAGCTCTTTTCAGAGAGGGAATTTTGTAATTTTGTTCTCATAAGTTTTCAAAGGGATTTTCCCCCCTTTGGAGAGGATGAGGTAACGGAGGCGAAGAATGAGAGACTTTCAAAGCCCAATTCTGCAGCCTGTCACAAAAGAAGGTTTGTTGATGCTGTTGCTGCTGCTGTGTTGTCATTCAGCCAGGGGCACCTTCCATGCGAGAAAGAGCCGGGCTTTCAAACAAGAAACGGCTTCACATTTCTTGCTCTGATGGCCTCAGTTATAAAAAGGGGAAAGGTGCTCTTTCTGTGACTTTCTGGGAAAATTAAGCAGCAGTTTTTCCCACCCTGAATCAGATGGGTTTGTTCTGATAAAGGGGAGGGGGGTGGGGAGTGTCCCGGCATGGTGGTAAATCTGCAGCGCTTCACTCTCGGGTGTGGTCTGTCCCTCTGTCTGGCCCTGCAGAGAGCCAGGCTCCCCCCGCCACAGTGGCCTAAGGGGGCTTCAGTGGCATGTGGGCCTGGCTCAAGGCATGACCCAGTTCCAGGCTGCCAGGTGTCTTTGGTCTCCGAGCTGAAGCAGATTGTGGCAGCCAGTCTGCCTATTTTGTGCCAAACTGGGGCTTGGAAGCCTGGGATGACTCCCAACAGCCACCACTAGTATCTCCTCTCAGCTCTGCTGTGTGAGTTCTGGGAGGCACGGTGCCCAGGGGCAGCTCTGGCTGGGGAGGCCTTGGCTTCTGAGTGTCAGGTGGAGACTCTGGGCATATGGCTTGCCAGTGCCCAGGGAGAACCTGGCACCTGTGTAAATGTGTTTCTGTCTTGGCCCGTGAGCAGCCTCCATATAATGGCCTGGTGCTGAGTGTGCATGAATGTGCATGTGTGTGTGTGTGTGTGTGTGTGTGTGTGTGTGAGAGAGAGAGAGAGAGAATGTGTATATGAGTGTATGTATGATTGTGTTATGAGAGTGAGTACGTGTATGAGATGCTATGTGTATATGAGTGTGTGTATGAGTGTTTAAGTATATATATGAGTGTGAGAGAGTATGAGAGTACTGTATTAGTGTGTGTTAGAGAGTGTGTGTGACTGTGAGTGTGTATGGGCATATGTGTGAGTGTGTATGAGTGTATGTGAGAGTCTATGAATGTGAGAAAATGAGTGTGTGTATGAGTGTGTGTAAGTGTGTATGAGAGTATGTGTGAATGTGTGCATGAGTGTATTGATTGTGTGAGGGTGAGACAATGTGAGTGTATGAGTGTGTGTGAGAATGTGTGTATGATTGTGTGAGTGTGTGAGAGGGAGTATGTGTATGTGTATGTGTATGTGTATGAATGTGTGTGAGAGTGTGAATGTGAGAGAATGGGTATATGTATGAGTGTGTGTGAGAGAGAGTATGTGTGAGTGTGTGCATGAGTGTAAGTGATAGTCTGTGTGAATGTCAGAAAATGTATATGTATGGGTGCATGTATGAGTGTGTGTGAGAGTGCATGTGAAGAGTATGTGTGTCTATATGAGTGTTTGTCAGAGTCTATGAATGTGAGAGAATGAGTGTGTACGAGTGTGTGAGAGAGTATGTGTGAGTGTTTTCATGAATGTAAATGATAGTCTGTGTGAATGTGAGAGAATGTGTGTGTATGGGTGCGTGTATAAGTGTGTGTGAGAGTGCATGTGAGAGTATGTGTGAGTGTGAACAAGTGTATGTGATAGTCTGTGTGAATGTGAGAGAATGTGAGTGTGTGGGGGGTTGTATGTGAGAGTCTGTGAATGTGAGAGAATGAGTGTGCACATGGGAGAGTGTGTAAGCATGTGTAAGAGTATGTGTAGTGTGTGAGAGAAAGAAGAGTGCGGTTCTCCCTCCCATGCTAGGTTGAGGTGTTCGCTCACTGCCGGCGCTGGAAGCAGCGGGGGTGACACGCGGAGCTTCCCAGAGAGTGGGTGGGCTACCCCAACAAGATCGCGCCCAGCCTCCTCCACGTAGGACGGCGCAGGCTGCGCCCTCTGCTGGGCAGAGCCGGGAGAGCCCTGAGACCCGTCCTGGGGTGCTTTCAGTTTTGATTTCTCAGGAGTCCTGGAAGCCGAGGCGGGTAGTGGGCCAGTCCTGCCCTCGTGTCGTGTTCCGTGACACTTGGAGCTGGGGAGAACTGTGCCTGCGCACGGGGTGTTTCTTTGGGTGTTTATTCCCCCTCCCTGCTTTCCCCAGGCGGTGAGTTCTCGGTCAACCCCAGTTCCTGTAGCTAAGGGACATGTATGAACTCAGCTGCAAACCAACAGAACACGTTTCTTTGGGGACCCTGGGGGAGGAAGGTAGACACTGGTGAGGGGACTGGCGTTGGAACAATGTACGCCTTGAACTTAATCATGAATAACCAGGTAACTTTGTCATTCATGGTGACTCAATCCAAAATTTTAAAAATAAATTTTAGAAAAAAGCAACCAACCGAACCCATTTCTAAGCTCAGCCCCATCTGCATATCAAGCAACACTCTCCCTTAAGGTCCCTGATTCCTGAGCAAGGAATTGGAAAAGAAGGTGCAGTCTCCAGCCTTCAATAAAGCAGACTGTGGTACATCTACATAATGGCACACTACGTAGCAGTTAGGTAAAACTAAATCATGACATTTGCCTCCTGGATGAACATAGAGCGTATCATGCTGAGTGAAATGAGTCAGAAGGAGAGGAACAGACAGACCGTTCGCATTCATTTGAGAGATAAAACAAAACAGAACCATAAATGTAGTATGTATAATACCCCGAAACAGTAGAAACAAGGGCCCAGGGTTCTGGTCCATGGTAGGAAGCTTGCTCCAAAAGGGAGAGAGAGGACAGTTAGGACAGAGAAGGGACAATCACCATGACAGTGATAGTTGGAAATGATCACCCTGGACAAGAACTGGGTGCTGAAAGGAGGTACCCTTTCAGTAACAGGACCGCAAATCACAGTGCCTAAAAGAAAAATGAGAAAGAGACAGAGAGAGAGAGAAACAGAAAGAGAGAGTGTGTGTGTCATAGAGACAGCCTGTAGGGGTGGGCGGGAGGGAAACTGAGGACATTGGTGGTGGGAAATGTACACTGGTGAAAGGACGGGTGTTGGAAGATTGTATGACTGAAACCCAAGCATGAACAGCTTTGTAATTATCTCACGATAATTCAATTCTTTCTTTTTTTCATTCTTTCATCATCCTGTTAATTGTCGATTGCCTCGAGCAGGCCCCAGTAACGTCTCTTTCATCCTAGCCCTGAGATTATATTCACGGCTCTTTAGGAGAATGAGACCCATCATTGTTACTGGTATTTGGCATATTTGGTAGGCCACGGGGAGTTTGCCAGACTCTGCCCTGTGGGAAGGCTACATTCGATAGCCTGCAAGTTTGTCCAATAATTCAATTAAAAATAAATAAATAAAAAGTCAGCAGAGTGGGTGTGGCCAACAAAGGCAGGCCAAGGTCCGAAGAATGTCCAGCTCCCCTGGCGCCCAGGGCCAGCCGTCATGCTCTGCGGGTGCTGGCAGTGTCCACGGGGCCAGGGCGACTTATTCTGGCTTTCTGTTGTGTGGGGAAGGACCCTGTGGCTGCTTCCAGGTTGAAACAGAGCATCACCCGTGGGCTGTGAGACTCTGGCAATGAGCCCTTGAAGCAACTCGCTCATGTCCAAGTCTGGTCTGCACCTCCCTGGGACACTAAGATGTTTTGCTGGTGGCTTCAGAAGGTACATAATATCCAAGATTCTGGCCACAGAGAGGATATGAAGGGGGCAGGGGACACCTTTCTCTGTCGTCCATGTTTAGGGAGCAAATCACGGATGTTGCCCACTCTTGGGCCCCCCAAACCCGGCACAGACCCTCCCCACCCACATGAGCTTGGGGCTGTGGCAAACAGCATGTGAAAATTTGCGGGTTTTATTGTTAGCCAGTCACAGGTGTGGTCAGCGGATTGGGGGCATCCTTAACCAGGTCTCAGGCTTTGGGAGTCCCAGTTCCCAGCAGGTAGTTGGAATAACCTCTGGAGTATTGTGGAAATCATCATGGTCTGGATGGTGACTGCATGGAAAAGCAGAAAATAATCCCTGTTCCCAGAAAGAGCTGAGAGGATTTATTTCCTCCCTTCTTTCCTTTCCCTACTTGTATTTATGGGCTGGAGTGATAGCACAGAGGGTAGGGTGTTTTCCTCGCACGTGGCCGACATGGGTTCAATTCCTCCGTCCCTCTGAGAGAGCCCGGCAAGCTATCAAGAGAGTCCCGCCCACTTGGCAGAGCCTGGCAAGCTCCCCATGGAGTATTCAATATGCCAAAAACAATAACAACAAGTCTCACAATGGAGACGTTACTGGTGTCCACTCGAGCAAATCGATGAACAACGGGAGGACAGTGCTACAGTGCTACTTATATTTATATTCAGTTCACAGCAAACACTATATAATTTGATACAAGAAAAGAAAAGCCCACTTTTTAAACTATAGACCTAGAGAGCCTGAAAGATAGTACAGAGGTTAAGACACTTGTGCGGCAGGCAGAGGACCCCTGGTTTGATTCTCAGTCACTGCATATGGTCCCTGAGTCCCCGCCAGAAATAATCCCTAAGCACAGAGCAACAGTAGGTGCTGAGGCCAACACCCTTCCCAAATATATAGAACCATACAGTAAAGGATGACAGTTAGAAAGCAGAGGCCCTCAACATTTAGTTCTTTCTTTCCACCTTCATATGCTCACCCCAAGGAGCTCTGAGAAGCATCTTCCCCAACTGCAGGGAGAACTGGTCCTCGATCCTCAATCCTTGCTCAGATTAGGACTAAGCATCAGGCTTTGCATTCACTGATCACCAAGGAAGATGCAATGGCCGCCTTGGAATAGCACATTCTCGATTTTCAGAGAGTTGTGAGAACTAGTCTAAGGTCTGTTTGAATACAGATTCCCAGTCTTCACGGAGCCTGAGTCAGGAGTTAGAGAATCACAGGTGTGGCCCCAGGTCCTGGTGGACATAGCACTGGCCAAGAATGACTGTCCTCTGGGTTGTAACTTCATGCACAGCCATTGCTGTCGAGTTCCTGCTCTTTCTATTATCCCCGGAAAGGAGGCAAAGTGGCCAGTTGCCGGCATTGTTTCATCCCTGCATCCTGTGGGGAGTTCTCACTGGTGATGAAATAAACATGTGCAAATGTGTTCCTCCATGCCTTCTGAGTCCTAGAGGTGAGAACAATACTCTTACAGACCCCTGAGCGTTTGTTTTTAGCTAAAATGGGATAGCCCCAGTGCAGACTTTGTGCATGGAAGCTAATGACAATCCTGAGACCTACCTGGGCTTGGCAAATCTTGCTCCATGAAACTCATAATCCTCCAGAGGGGTAGCTTTGTTCACAGTGGAGAATCTAGAAAACAGATGAACATAAAATCCTCATTGAGACTAGTGGTAACTTCTCTTATCGGGAGTATGGGACTAAGAAGAAAACGAATTGATCTATAGAGATAGAACCTGTAATTATCCTGTCAGCCTGGGATCTCCTCAGGAAAGTGGCCTTGGGATCTTGGAGATAGCATTTTGCTGTTGCAGATGGTAAGTAGAAGGGAGTCAATTTCCACATCTATGGTTCTTGCCAGAACACTCCCTTTGTTACAACAGTTAGTTTTTCAAGTTTCAAACTTCTTCACTCTCTGGCTGGAAAGCACCACTTGGTAGACAGAGAAAAGGCCTGTGTACTTTCTACGCTCTAGGGCCAGAGGATGGGATCTTCACTTCCTCAGAAGGACTGCATAAAGGGTAGGTTCTAATCAGGGTGCTAAAAGGCTGGTGACTCACAAAGTCCCTCTGTGCTTATGACCTCCCAGTAACCCCACTGGCCATGGGACCCCTCCCTGTCCCAAACACAAACAATAATTGATGCTGAGCGGATGAGACTGACAGTTTATAAATCACATAGACTCAGCCCAGGGAACATGCCATACTATCCAGGGCCACATGGAGGCTGCACCTAGAAAGAGTGAAGCCCAGGGCCTGAAAGGACTCGTGCTTTGTAGGTTGAATAGTGGGGTGACTCTGCTTCCAAAGGAAAAGAGCGATTGCAGTCTTGGAACAGTGTCTCAGGCTGACAGGGAGCTAAGCTCCACTGGCGAGGTCTGGGGGAGATGCAGCCTGTCTGTCTAATACGGCAGCTAGCCGTGGGGAGGCCTTTGTCCTGGATCAGGGGACTCACGGTCAGGCACCTGGACTCTGTCAGCCTTGAAACTAGCTAGGGCAGTCCATGAAATAAATTGTCGGCCTTATAGCATACCCTCCAAGATCAATCTCTATGTTTACTTGACCTTATTTCCTGCATCCTGGTTTCAAATCTGCCTTTGATCTTCTCAAAAAACAAAGCAGAAAGGGAGCTGTAATCAGTGGTCTGACCAACACCAAGAAGTTTCAAAACCAAAACCTGCCCCAGACACACTGACCAACACTCAGCTGAGGCCCCTCACAACCCCCTCCCCAGACAGCTTTCCCCAGGGTTCCTTCAAACTCCCCAGTGACTCTCCCCATAAACACTCGAATACTACAGGACCACTAGGTTCTCTCAAGCCCCATTTTTTCCCTTCTTGGGTTTTATTTTATCACTGGTATCATTTTGTCCTTAAATTGCCATCTATCCTATACATTTCCTTTGGGTGGAGTGTGGGGAGACTTTGCACAAATTATTTCGTAGCTTTTAGTATTTTTTGTTTTGTTTTGTTTTGTTTTGTGGGCTACACCTGGAGGTGCTCAGGAATCTCTCCTGGCAGGACTTGAAGGATCATATAGGGTCCCTGGGATCCAGCCCAGGCCAGTTGCATGCAAGGCTAGCATCCTGCCCACTGTAGTAGTTCATATCCTCAGTTTCTTACGTACAAAAACCAGTTTCAGTTCAACTGCCAGTGCAAATGCGGGTGTAGTCCAGACTCTCCTGGGACCACCCGCAGCTACAGCAGGTGCAGTAGCTAATGGCTCACACCTGCAACTTTACCTGGGCACTGCCCTGTGTAGCTAGAGTCAGCTTGCCAGGAGAACCCCAGGGAGTTAGAGACACAGGGAGTTAGAGACACAGGGAGTTAAAGACACAGGGAGTTAGGGAGTTAGAGATCCACCCAGCCCATGCCTGAGGCTGAGAGGGCTGACTGAAAAAGCTCAAGTTTCTAGCTTCAAGGCAAACCCTGCCCTGTGCTAATGTTTATGCCCCAGGACTCAAGCCAGCTTTCACCAACAGCTCCATCCTTCCTTCTCCTGACCCGTCCCTCTATTCCATTTTCTCCTGGGCTCATTTCCTGAATAAATCTCTCTACTTAATGCACTACCTCAGTTTCTGCCTCCAGGGAACCCAACCAAGGACTGGCTTGTTTCTCTACAGTTGGAGGTACCAAGGAAGAGAAAACAATAGTCCCTTTGATTTTTCTAAAGTCACTCCTTTAAATCCTGTTTTTTTTAATTATTAAATCCTCTTTTTATTATAAAGACAATAAGTGCTTATATTTATAGTAAAATATTTATCTATAATTTCTATAGCATTAATTTATGTTTTATGATCTAGCCACTTTATCATAATAATATTTATATTTAAAGTGCTATGTGCTTATGGCTGTACACCTCTATGCTTGAGGTTAAATAGTGTCGAAATGTAGAAAGTAAAAAATAAAATTTCAATCCTCGCCCCATTTCCAGTCCCTTTCTCCCAAAAGGGAACCAGAGTTCATTTTATTAGTAACTTTTGAGAAAGTGTTTATATATTTTAGGTATAAATATCGGGGCCTTTATATCAGTTATATCAAGTTATTTATAGTTCTCTGAAGCTTTCTTTTTCCACCTTATATATTACAAAATTATTTCCATTATCAATGTGAAGAGATTTGTCTTACAAATGATCAAATTTATTAAGACTCATCTAAATAGACACATTCTCTGCATTTGGCAACGTCTATTATTTCTGCCAATCCAAAAAAAATTGTAGTTCGAGTGGGATAGTTGTAATAATGTTATTATTTATGGGGTTTATGAACAAAGTTCTTGCATCCTCACCAACAACAACATACCCGAGATCCCCCACACACTGTCCTTTCTATTTTTAATTTTTTATATTTGTGGTGCTGTTACACCATTCCCACCACTAAGGGTGCTACGATCCCTCAACCATGATCGCAAATTAAGAAAGAGAAAGTGAATCATCAAAAGTTTTTCTTGGATATAAACAACTGAGTCTAACAGAACGAGAAATGAAATTAATTGCATTTCCTTGTGAAATGAATTGCAGTCCTTTATTAATGTCATGTATCCTTTTAAACCCCAGAGGGACCCCCATGTCTCTGACATGACTTAGAGCCCCTGAGAGAATAAGATTAGGTTCTGTGTACAGATATCCTCAAAACCAACAAACAGTACTATGTGTGTATCACTAAGATGTAATAGACAACAAATAAAAGAATGGGGCAGCTTCTGGATAGTTTAGAGTATGTAACAACAACAATGTATGACAATGAGATATGATTTCACACCCTTGTATTAGGATGGCAAGTATAACCAATTCCACCAGAAAAAGAAGTGTCAGTGAGGAGGAGAAACTGGACTTCTCCATTAGTCGTTAGTAGGAATGTGGGCTGGCGTTGCTGTTAGGAAAAACAGTGGAGGCTCCTCAGAAAGTCACAAATGTTGCTAGATGATTCAGCAATTCCACTTCTGGGTCCACACCCAAACCAATGGAGCACAGGATCTTGGAATGCTAAGTCTTCAGGGAAGCGTAATTCACAGTAGACAAAAGGGGGAAGCAACGCAAGTGGCCACTAATGGAGAAATGGATTAATGAAAGGCAGGACTTGTGTTCTCTCCCCTATAATTTGGCCTTTAGAAGGAAGGAAATCCTGATGCTTACTAACCACATGGATGAAACTTGAAGGCTTGGTGCTAAGTGAATTCAGCCCACAAATGACAAATATGGCGTGGTTCCATCTATATCTTGAGTACTGCTATTTATAGAGACCAACAAAAAAAAGCACAAAAGGTGATTGCTGAGAGCTGTGGGTGGTGGGAATGAATTATCATGAATTGAATTATCATTCAATCAATGGGGGACTTCCATTCTCCCTGATGAAAAAGTACTTGAAGTGGTGGTAGCACAAGGTGAATCTATTTAGTAGCCTGAACTGGGCACTGGACAGTGGAGAGGAAGCTAAGATGTGTGTGTGTGTGTGTGTGTGTGTGTGTGTGTGTGTGTGTGTGTGTGTGCATTTTACCACCATAAGTGAAATGAAAGAATAAATTCCTCCCGTAATGTTGGGAGGCAGAGGACAAGGGCCCCCTGCCCTGAGCATCCAGAACATATTTCTTGGTACTTCCTAGCTGGTCTGGCTGGCTCTCCGGTGCTGGAAAGCTGGCTGGCAGGGGAGGAACGGGCTCATTTGTTCCATGCTTCAGTGGAAGGAGAGACTCAGAGACAGCCTCACTCTCTTCCTGGCAAGCCGTTCTTAGTATGCCTCCACCCCTCTCTCCAGCCCTCAGACACATGGAGGGCCTCTGACTTGGAAACTGTGCCAGCAAGTCACTGGGATGTGGCAGGAACCAATCAACAAACTGCAAGGGGGGAGGGGTTCAGTGGAAGAAGTTTCCAGAAGCGGCAAGAGAAGCAAGTGAGAGGCCACCAGGAAGAGTGACCATCTTTACACTAGTACTGGGATTGGTATTGGAACATTGAATGCCTGAAACAACTCTACTATGAACAACTTTGTAAATCGTGGTGTTATAATAACCAAGTGTGTGTGTGTGTGTGTGTGTGTGTGTGTGTGTGTGTGTTTGTCTGACCCCTGCGTCATCATTACAACAACAACAAAAGGAAGGAAGGGATGGAGAATTTAAAAAGAACAGAACCCGTAGGCCATGAAAAGAGAGCCCCCAGAAGAGCCTAGATGAGAGGGTAAGATCAACATGATTCTTGGCTGTGGAATCACTTCCTCCATTGGCTGCTGACATGGTGCTGTCAGGCCCCGGCCTCAGGATGCCCCACCGCGAGGCTAGGGAAGGAAGGTGAACCTGGTGTGGGTTTTACTTGAAGAAGTAGTTTGTGATCACAGGTACAACATGTGAAGGTGCAAAAGGGTATACTGTCTCTCCAGCCCTGTTTGCTGTTCCCCAGTGTCCAATCTCCTGCCAGAGTTCTTCGTTGTTTGAAGTTTCCAGTGAAAGGAAGAGACCCGTAGACTTCAGGGAGTTGGGCCAGCGAACCAATCTGCAAGCACAGTGGGGTCCAGGAAGTGGGGAGGCCACCAGAGGAGTTGCTGTTTGGGGTCCTGCTTCCTTTCAGATCCCAGAAGGGAGGTTCAGGTGATTGTGCACCACAGTAAATTGTTGGCCATGTCTTCTTTGGGGCACTCCTCAGCTTGTAGTGGGAACCTCAGAAAATAGTTGGTTTAGGTTTCCTAATAAGCCTTTTGTGCGAAGGCATATTCCCTTCTTGCCCTTATAGAAAAGACCAATTCCTTTCCACTAGTATTACTTGGGGGTAGGGGGGTCCTCCTCCAGCAGGACTCAGGAGGCCTGGGTCATACCTGATAATAATTAGCCCCATCGTACTGGGTGGTGCAAAGCTCTGTCCCAGATATGCTTGGGGCCACCAGGGCCACCCTAGAGGTACCCAGGGAGCTCAGGGGTGCTGAGAGGTCAACCCGGGGTCTCCCACAGGAAGGCATGCTCTATGCTCTGACCTTTTGAGCCCTCCCCTTGGCCCCCAAACACTCCTTAATGCAGTGCAGAGACAGCAGGAGGACCATGCATGATTTCGCTTCAGAGAGCTCCCACCCCCGGCTCAGCCTCCCTCCCTTTTTGTTCCTTTGCTTTCATTTATATTCTCACCCCCAAGTGGGCACTAAACATGTGCAACGAGCAGTGCCTGGACTACCAATGGATTTATGATTTATGATTTTTCATCTTATTATCTAAGAGGCTTTTCCTGGTAAAATATTAAGGCTCCACTGCCGTTATAACCTTGCCTTGCATGATCTCATTGGCAGCTAGTGTTGCCATGACAACTGGGCTGGAGAAACTGGTACAGGGCTGGGGTGGAAGATGGTTCGCACATTGGTGTGTGTGTGTGTGTGTGTGTGTGTGTGTGTATGAGAGAGAGATGATGATGATGATGATGATGATGATGATGATAATGATATGACCAACATATGCAAGTCTCCCATTATATATATATGTATATATATATATATATATATATATATATTTGTTGTGCCAGAAACCAGGGATTTCTTAGTTTATACCCTTTGCTTCTTCCAATTTGGTAGAAATTAGTTTCAGGGTTCTATATCAACTGAACGGAAGCTTTGTAGGATAATTTCTTTGTTTGGATTTGGATTTTCAAGTGCCAAGTTGGCACAAGGAACACATAAGAAATAATGTAGGTGGAAAGAATCATGCTAAGCAAAATGAGTCAGAAAGAAAGGGACAGACATAGAAAGATTGCATTCATCTGGGGAACATAAAGTAACAAAATTGGAGACTAACACACACAAGAATAGCCGAGATAAGTACCAGGAGGATTACTCCATGGCTTGGAGGACAGCCGCACACACTAGGGGAAAAGGCAGCTCAGATAGAGAAGGGAGCACCAAATAAAGGGGGTTGGGAGGTTCCTCTCAGGATGGGAAATGCGTGATGAGAGTAGACTATAGTCCGAACAAGATTGCCACTCAATGTCTCTTTTGCAAACCACAGCACTCAAAAGGAGAGAGATAACAAAAGGGAATGCCCTGGCACAGTGGTAGGGTGGGATGGAGGATGGGGGAAGGAGGATGGGAGTGATACTGGGACTGGTGGTGGTGGAGAATGGGCACTGGTAGAGGGATAAGTATTCGGTCATTGTATAACTGAAACCCAAGCACAAAAATTTGTAAGTCTACAACTGTACCTCATGATATTTCACTAATAAAATTTTAAGAAAAAAAAAGAAATAATGTAGATGCCAAGTATTACTAGAGACCCACCTTCTTCACCCTTGTCTGCCAGTAATGCTGGGTCAAACAGCAATGCATCCTTGGGTCTGAGCAACACTAGGGGTGAGGAGAAAGAAAGAAAGGAAGAAAGAAAGAGAGGAAGAAAGAAAGAAAGAAAGAAAGAAAGAAAGAAAGAAAGATCTTTGATATTTTCTACCCATGTGAAGTAAAACAACTACATCCACTTGATTTTGGATTTCAAAGCACCTTGGGCCTAACTTATTGATCATTTGTAATTTCCTTCTTAATTACACAAAGTCAGAGTTGCAAGGAACCCAGATATTATCATTGTTTCTGTGGAAAAACTAAGCTGGAAAGTAAGGGAAACAAGGAGAGACTGGTAAAAGGCTACCCTTTGTAAAGATGAGTAAGATCTAAGACTCAAATATAGAACAAGATAAATGAGTTATAGACATGAAAACAATGTTACGTAACTGAAATCTGCTCAGACAGTAAAACTTAAACATTCTCTTCAAAAAATATGTATGTAGAAATATGCAAAGCCTACTTGTTAGGTGTACAAGTAGATGGTGGGAATCCTTCCATGGTGCTGAGTCAGCCCATCATACCCATGAATCCACATCCTCAGTGCAACCAACATCACTTGAGAAACAGAAACCACCTCTGCAGAAAGGAATATGATGTCTGTGTCTATATTGAGCATATACATGTATTTTCTTGTAATTATTTCCTACTCGACACAGTACAAGCACTGTTTATGTAGCATTTTCAACATAAGGGCATTGTAAGCAGCCTAGAGATGGTAGAAAGCATACAAAATCATGAATATAGGTTTTAGCAAACGTTACGCCAAATGGGGACTTGCACACAAGTCAGATTTTGATGTTTTCAAAGATTCTAAGAGCAAGCATTACCCCACACACACACATATAGAGGGACAACTGTATACATGTGTTAGAGTACACGGAGCTTAGGTATATCAGATTGTACCCATCACAGTGCTCCCGAGTCACTCCCATTACTTTGTCAGTCTGTAACCACTTCTATGCTCTCTTCCCCAACCAATTTGTAAGGTCTCATCCTGCTTAGACACTGAAGCTGTACTGTAAGTTAATATTGCCTTTCTCCTCTCCTTATGTCTTTTGAGCAGTTTACTTTAATGCAATGTCCTTTTGTATAGATACAGGAAGACAATTAATTAATATTATGCTTTATAACTTAGGATTTAATTGGCTTTGAATATTATTCACTCCTGCGCATCTGCCTTCTCAACTTAAGCCTCAGTTGACCTCACTTCCTAGCACCCCAAGGGCAGGGTCCCAACGTGGGACTGGATGGAACCAGGGCAAGCCGGTAAGTTATGTGCTACCCTGGCATCGCGATGGGCCAGGCCAAGGTGCCACGATTCTTAACTATAAGTTAAGAGGTTGATTATAGGCAAATGATGTCATGATCCAATAGTAACAATGAGACTAGGGCCCTGCTGCTAGGAATAGGAAAGATATCTGGCCTGAGCACTGCAGTCTGAGATCGAGATGGCCCTAGGAGAGCAATTCTATAAGCTCAAAGTATTTCTTACTGTGTCCATACAAAATGATTAATATTATGTATGCTTATATGTTGGTTGGACAAGGAGAGGAGAAACACGTCCTAGAAGCAGTTTTCCTGTGTGTCCTGACTAGCTTGGATGAGACTGTTTGCTCCCCTTCAAACTGCCTTCAGTAAATGATTTCAGTATATTGAGGTAGTTTCTCTTATCTCACAGGAACCTAGCTGGCCTTAGGTATACAGTTCCCAGGTGCTAAGCCAGGCCTGGTCTTTGGGATGTAGATGCCTGACTCCAGGCTGGCTGATTTTGGGGATGTAGATTTCAAGCTCTAGCAGACTGGTCTTTGTTGTGCTAATCTAAATGCTTGTAGCTTGTAAAAAGGTGAGGCCAGGATTACTGGCCTGCTGATGTAAAGAAACAATGTATGCTTTGCCTCAGTGTTCTTTCTGTAACTCCTTTTGATGACATCACTATATTGCCCCCTTTAGAGGTACTATGATCTATATAAGGGAGATTTCAGGGCTCTGGGGGGACACGTGCACCAGAGAACCTGGGAAGATGGGGCTGAGGACAGAAGTGGAGAGAACAAGGGCGCACGTGCTTGAGGATTCCTGAGGCCTCCATGACATACAGCTCTTCCATGTAATAAACGGCTGCTAAGACCAACCAGCTTGGCCTCGTTTCCTTCCTTCGCCTGACTATCGCCATCGACCTCCGTGGAGTGGGGAAGCGACCTGACCGCCGGCCTTTTTATTTTCGTGTGTTTACACATACATGTATCACATAACCACAATGCATACACTTTAAATGTCTTACAGTTATGTCAACCATACTTCAGTGAATCTGGGAAACCTAAAATCAAAAGACCCTAAAAGTGCCAGTCCCATTCTGCACCGTGCAGGGAAAGTTGCTTCCACCTGCTTCAGCGTGTGTTTATGGTGATCTCAGCCGAGTGACTTCACCCACCTGAGTCTGTTTGTGCATTTGGAAAGCATGGTGAGAGCAAGAGAAGCTTACAGATCATTATAGGGATTAAGATAATCCATGCTGCTTGGCGCATATTAAACCCTCAATAAATTTTATTACTAGTCTCCTGGTCGAGTTGGGAATTATCTACGGAAATAGTAGCATCCAGTTTCACCAACTCCTACTTCAACTGGAGATTTCCCCCTACTGATTCCCTCCTCTCCTTGGTTTCTTTTTGTTTCTGTGTTTCTGGTTCTCCAGGCAATAGTGGGAGGTCTTTTGGATGGGGTGTTGTTTCTGTTTGGTGGATATCAGGGGAGGCAGTTCAATGCTAAGGGCCAAGGATTCTGTACTGCTCAGGCCCTGAAGTGCTAGGATATACCTGGACCACCCCAGCTGTGCTCAGGGGCCTTCAGGGCTGCACCCTCTGAGCCATGCTCAGAGGACCCTGTGGTGCTGGGGATCAAACCCAGGCCAAGTGCACTCTAACCACTGGATTATCTCTAGTCACTAGATTGTACTTTCTCAGGAACGCCTGTGACGGTGTTAGGGCCACCCAATAGGTCCCCTTGGCCACTTATTGACTGGGAGTTCACTATAACAGAGAACATGCACTCACAGGACAGCTATTGGCATACCTGACAGCACAGCTGCACCTGGAGAGGAGGAAGAAATGAGAAGAAAACACATGGGGAGGGGGAGTGAACACTTTCTGGTCACCTCATAGGCCTGTGACTAAGCACAAACATGGCTACTCCCAACCCATGTGGTGAGTATATTCACTCCCTCCCCTTCTGCTCATGATGGCAGGAGGTTTGGGGAGCTGGTCTCCACCCACCTTACCTTCCCTGCCTCCACCCTCTCTGAATGGAAAACAGTTTCCTGAGTTGGGGGGAAAGGATTGGTGCTGACAGAGCAACCCAGAGCCGGGCATGGAGCCCAGTGGCATCATTCTGAAGTCAAAAGCATCCTCGAAGTCTAAGGTGCTCAAAGCAGAGTCCACCGGGGGGTGGGCGACTTGGCAGAGGCAGCTCGTTCAAACAGTCTTTCAGCACTTTGTCAGGAATCAAAGCCAGGCAAAGGAAGGGCAACATTCCTGCTTAGAGGAGCAAACTGTTCTGGGGAAATTCACTTCAAAAGTTACCCTGAAGTGAAAAACACGCCCACTTGGAAGGGAGAGCCACCCTGCAGTTTAGTAAAGAGGCCATTAACTCAGCGGGCCTCTGCGCACTTCCCTCAGAGGGGCGCAGGGTCTGGGCCAGGTGAGTGAGGCACTGCACAATACAATCCGGAAACTGTCTCGCTCCCCGAGTTAGGAACGGAGGTCAGAAGTGAGGGGTTGCCTGATGCCAACACACAGTGCTCAGGAAGGGGTTGGATAACTTGTAGAAATTGGGGTCAAGGATGATCCATTTTGACACCATGTTTAAAGAAATTTACATAGTATTTTTTTTTTGAGGATGGGGTGGGTAAGAAGTGGATGATGCAGAATTGGAGAAAACAAAGCCCCCAACCCCCTCTCCCCCGACACACACACCCAGCACAGCATGAAGGTGCAAAACTAGTGGCAAAAGGGAAGCCTTTGGAGACTGCGTTGCTCTGGGGTGCGTGAATAAACCAGCAACTGTCTCTGTCTGTGCCTTGTCAGCCTGTCCCCAACCTCGTGTGAAAATAGAGGGCCTGAAGAGTCTTAGAAAATGACGGCGGGGACCCGAGCGATAGCACAGCAGGTAGGGCATTTGCCTTGCACGCGGCCGACCTGGGTTCAATTCCCGGCATCCTATATGGTCCCCCAAGCACCACCAAGAGTGATTCCTGAGTGCAGAGCCAGGAATGACCCCTGAGTATCACTGGGTGTGACCCAAAAAGCAAAAAAAAAAATGACGGCAATTTCAGTAGTGTCAGAAAAAAAAGTATCTCTTCAGCACTGTGATTCTGAAGTTGGTGGGACAAATCTCTGGGCAGATAGATTAGGGACGCGCCCCCCACCCCCATGGGTGACACATGTGAGGCTGAGAGGACAGAGATGGCTACTTCCTCCCCATCCACCTCTGCCACCCCAGCACCGACTGGGAAGGCTCGGACTGATGAAGCCTTCGATGAGCCCCTTCATGGCACAGACCAGAGTCCCATCAGCCGCCCACTAAGTAGCTGTCAAGCCCCACTTGACTTCTACTTGGTCTGCTTGGCATGGGAGTTATCCTCCCCACCCGATTTCTCCAGGATCCATGGACTCAGGCTGAGCCAGCCATTTGCTCTTTGCAGAAAAAGGCAAACCAGTCTTAGGCCTTACCCAGGACTTATGGGTTCTTGCCTTTCTCTTAGAAAAGTCTTCCAGGAGAAGATGAGCAGTGAAGCAAAAATAGATTTTATTCAGAGGTGGTGAGGAAGGGGGAGGAGGGAGAAGGGGAAAAAGAGAGAAAGAGAGCAAGGGAGAAAGTAAGGAGAAAGAGAGGGAGAGAGAGGACAGTGAGGAGAGAGAGAGGGAGAGGGAGAGCGAGTCAGAGAGAGAGAGAGAGAGAGGGAGAGAGAGAGAAACATGCTCAAGAGAGAACACAAGAACACAGGCTTCTCCAAAGGCAGAGAAAGCCCTGGTACACATCTTAAGAGGGGAGATGCAGGGACCCATGTGCCTGGGCACCACATGTGCTTGGCCAGGTGGACACAGGCAGCACATAGGCTCAGCAACACTCTCGGGTTGTTCAGGCTGGTTCTTAAAGGGGTTCTCCAAGCTGAACTAGGTGGGGCCTTCTATCTAGATGAGGGTGCGTTGTTAGGGTGGTTGCCAAGGAGGGGTAGAGTTGGGTTTAGTCCATGGTCTTTTTTCGAAATTCCTTTTCTTTACCATTGTTCTGGCTGGAGGGTTGCTCCAGGCTTCCCTGGTCTCGACTAGTTCCAGATAAAAAGTCTTACGGGTCTTAGTTCCTGAGTTCACAAGGGGCGGGGAGTGCGACAATCTTAGGGCTAGGTGGTCATTACCTGCCAGGAATTTCATTTCCAGGGAGGGGGAGCTTTCCCTAATCTCCCTGCCTACACCAGTTCCGCTGGTACCGGTGTGTTTCTCTGGATACTTATCCAAGTATCCAGAGTCTAGGAGCTGCACATGGCCATGACCTCAACCTCCCAGCCACAGTAGGAAGGCAGAGAGTGTCCCACACTCCTGCTGACCCGGGTTTCCACGCGGGGGTAGGGCATGGGAGCAGCACACGGGGTGCACCTGCTGCTGCAGGGGATGTAGGTGCGAATGCAGATGTGGGAGCTGTGATGCACCGCGGGGCGTGCCTAAGGGGGTGGGGGGTGCCTCAGCTGGACAGGAAAGTGTCCCCCTTCGGAGCGAGGCAGTCCGGGAGAGCAGGCGCGGGCCGCAGGGCGCTTACATAACCGGGATGACGTCAGCGCGGGCGGCTCCCCGCGGCGGGGCCGCGCGCGCCGCGTCCCTGCGCGTGTCCCTGTACCATGTCCCTGTACCGCAGCGCCGTGTGGCTGGCCAAGGGGCTGCGCGAATACACCAAGTAAGGCGGCGACCGAGCGGGCCGAGGGGGGGCCGGGGGCGGTGTCCACCGCCCGGTCAGTCACGTGGGCCTCCCTGGTTGGGGCCACCCCACCAGCGCTGGCGGGGACGCGGCCGCTGGGGCGTGTCCACCTCCAGACAGTGGCCAGGCAGACGCGGGACCGGCCGGCGGGCTCCAGGCGCTCCGTGGCCCGTGCGTGGTTGTGTGTGACGACCCTCCGATGTCAGGAGGACACCCCCCCCTCAGCGCTCCCGAGTCCCCATCCCCCCCACTTTGCAGCTTGGAGATCAGTCACGACCAATTTTCAGCTGGTTGCCAAGTTCCTGGCTCTGTGCTTTGCTGGGTTGTGTTAAACGTGGCAAGTGTTCTGGCTCTCCGGCCAGCGCAGTGTCCAGCGAGGCGCTGGAGAACGGGCTTTCTCGATCCCCCCAGCCCCTGCTCACCCTGGCTGCATGCACCCTAGCTGGCCCTCCCAGGTCACTGTGGCTTTTCAGGGTGGGAGGCCGGCGGGAGGTTTCAGCGGTTCTGAAGCTAGCCGAAGGCTAGAAGAATCACGGGGAAAATTAGGAATAGCGGTTTGGACGGTACCTGTGCTCACCCGGATCTCGGAGATAGCCAATAGCCCGGGAAGGCGCCTGGGTTGCGCGCAGCGAAGCGGGCTCTGAGTCCCTGCAAACTCAGAGCAAAGGCAGCAGCTGCCGCTCAGGCCCCTGGTCCCACATCCTACTGAGAAAAATGGGCGTCCTGGGGCTCAGTGCTGCAGGTAAAGTGGGGTGGGGTGGGCAGTCCTGGAGCCCCAACACAGGCACTCTTTTAAAAGGGGTACTCTGGGGCTGGAGCAATAGCACAGGGGTAGGGTGTTCGCCTTGCACGCAGCCGACCCGGGTTCGATTCCCAGCATCCCATGTGGTCCCCTGAGCACCGCCAGGGATAATTCCTGAGCGCAGAGCCGGGAGCAACCCCGGTGCATCGCCCGGTGTAAGCAAAAATAAAAAATAAAAGGGGTACTCTGGCTGTGGTCACCTTCCAAAGTGGGAAAGGTGTGAAAATTCCTCTCCCTCTTCCTGTTCTTTGTGTGCATTTACTCAATTGGAGGGAGCTCACACCACCAGAGTTTGGTTCCATTGTTGGGGTGGACAATGTTTTATGATGACAAAAGGGGATTTTGTTTTTAAAAAGGCTTTTTTTGGGTGTACAGACTCTTGCCTGATCTGAAAGAATTCCAGGTGCGATTATATTATTATTATTATTTTATTATTATCAAATAATTACATATTATTATTAAAGTTTCTTACCCTGGCAGGTGGGAATGGAATTTAAACAAATTTTATAATTTCATACTGGGCAGGAGATGCACAGATGATTTTATGTGGGCTTAAGAAACACTCAGTACATGAGGCCAGAGCGATAATCCAGTGGGTAGAGCACTTGGCTTGCACACAGTGGACCAAGGTTTGCATGTGTACATGTGGGAGCTAAGCTTGACACCTGATTCCTAGCACAGATTGCCCCCAACACGTGGAGACAGCACTACATACAAGCACTGTACTCCACCCCTCCTGAAAGTGGTGCCTGATTCTGCTTGTTTGGGGACCCTTCTAGCACATCACCGACACAGATGTATGTGAGTCTGGGTGTTGAAAGGCCAGAAATGCTCTTTGGCTTTATTTCCTATCAGCCTGTGTCCCTTGCGAGTGGTCTAGCTCATTAGCTGACAGTGAGTTTGTAAAGATGAAGTGTGTCCTCCAAGAGCTCACGAGACACCTATAAGCCACATCTCACTATTATTGATGGACTGGCCAATTGGTTTGGGGGCCTCGCCTGGCAGTTCTGAGGCTTCTCCCAAGGAAAGAGACTCATTGCTCAGGGGTGACTCCCAGTAGTGCTCAAGAGACCACGTGGTGCTAGGAATCAAACTCAGGCCCCCCACCTGCAAAAACCAGAGCCCACACTCAGCAGTGCTGGGGGCCCAGGGCCTGTTCCTCTGGGTGATCAGCTCCACCCGAGATGCTCAACCTAGCAGTGCTCTGGGGAGACCACTGGTGGTGCTCAGGGAAGCTTCTAGGGTGCCAGAAACCAAATTGAGTGCCCCTCCACCCCATACTGGGCATGTGCCACAGTACTTGAGCTGTCTCCCTGGTTTTGGGCACTCATAATGGATTGGACCAAGATGGAATCCTTACACTCAGCACAAAGGCCTGAGGACAAAGGGCAGAGGAAGGATGTGGCATGTCCTGCAGGCTGGCCTGGCACCACCCACTTGGCTCACAGCCTGGAGTTTGAGGAAGCATTTTAATCTGTTGGAGCCACTTCAAGCAAAGCCTTGCCTCTAACAGGATCAGTTCAGGAGGCCTGTACCCTGCTGCTGTCTGCCTCTGTCCCCCTGCTCTCTACTGGCTTGGGAAGCTCCACATTACTCCCCCCAGTGTCCACTCCTTGGTTGGACCCTCCTTGGCCATTGGCACCCCCCCGCCCTGCCCAACCACCACCACCCCAGGGCCTGGGCTCTCTCTGAGGACTCTGCAAACCAATCACCATGTGTATGGTGACCTACACAATACACAGTGATGTCACCACCCCTTCTGTTAGGGAAAAACAAACCTTCCTTCCTTCCTTCCTTCCTTCCTTCCTTGGAAAACACTCAGCTTTCTCAGGGTCTGTGCTCATGGATCATTCTTGTGTGTGTTTGGAATACCATGTGAAGTGTCCAGGATGGAACCAGGCTTGGCTGTGTGCAGGCAAAAGCTTTAACCCTTGAACTATCACTCAGGTTCATTCCCAGTCTCATGTAACCAAATATTTCAGTTATAATCTTGGGTTATAATTTAAAATGTCATCGCGGTCCCTAATGATTTAAAGGGCAGGCCGCTTGTGTGAGCACTCATTCTTAAATGCAGAAAGTATTGTGGTCATTATTAATATAGCCAATAATAATAGTAATAGCCATTTATTGCTCTCTGCATTTATTCAACGTGCAGTGATAAATGTCTTGCACACCCTAATTTGTTTAGGCTGCCCAAGAGATGGCAGTTATTACTCATTATAGTTGAGGAGTTGGGGGTTTCAGAAATAAGCAGCCAGTCCATGCTGTGGCACAGCTGATACGAGGAAGAACTGCAACCCCAGCGGGTCCAGTCAAAGGTTTTGTTGTGGGCATTTATTTTAGCTTCAAGTCAGCACTTTAGGAATGCTTTGAGACTGTCATAATCTCACTTGCCCCAGGAACTGGGTCTCTAGCATCAGAAGCAAGGAGAAGGGTCTTCTTTTTATTTTTTTTAATTGTTATTAGTGGAACACCATGAGGTACAGTTGTAGACTTATAAATGTTTGTGCTTGGGTTTCAGTTATACAATGGTCAAGTAAAGGAAAAGGGTCTTCTTTGAGTATCCCTGAATGGTCAAGCAAGTTACTTGGGAACAGTCATGTTCTCCCAACTCTGCAGTGTGAGATGCCTGTCTTGGTGGCACTGACTTCCAAACCCAACCCCAGCTCAGAAACATTCCTTGGCCTCCTCCCCAGGTCCAGGGCATGCAGTTGGCAATTGTGCGGCATGTACCGGAACGTGGGGCAGGAAAGCAGCTGTTGGCAGTCTGTGTGTAAACAGGGCACGTGGGAGGGTACTGGGATTCTTGTAAAACCTTCAGGGAGAAACCACTTAGCTCTCTGGTGAGGCCAAACCAGCACCCCTCATCCCCGTCTCGCTGGGTGATTGGGGGCAGGAGAGCCCTTGGAGCCTCCTACCAAATGATTTCCACTCTGCCCCCAACGCCCCCACCCACCTGCAGTCAGCTGATTTCAAAACCAGGCCCTGCTGGGAAAATAAAGGTAGAAGCCATGTCTCAAAAAGCAGAAAACTCGTTAAGGAACGCAGCACTGGCCAGAGAGATAGTGCGGCGGGGAAGGTGCTTTCCTAGCACACAGCTGAACCCAGTTTGATCCCCAGCACCACATCCGGTCTCCTGTGTAGCTCTCAGAGTGATCCCTGAGCTCAGAGCCATGAACAAGCCCTGAGCACAGGCAGGAGTGGCCCCCAAACAAAACAAATCAACAACCAAACACCAAATCAGAACTGCTTTTATCCAGTATGGTGCCTTTGGGCAAATGGAGGAAAACACCTTCTCCAAACGCTTTGCTGCCACCTGCCAGATAAGGGTCCTGGTGCAGATGCAAGAGAAAGTGTGTCATCCTCCTGATGGGAGTGGACAGTGCCCCTGCATTTGTGCAGTGACTCCTGGCAGAGCTCTAATAACTGTCCCGTCCTCCTCCCTTCCTTGCCTGCAAACCCAACCTCACTCCTTCTACAGGCTTGCAATGTTTACTGTCCTCTAAGTTTTTATTAGTGAAACACTATGAGATATGGTTGTGGACATTACAAGTTGTTGTGCTTGGGTTTCAGTTATACAATGATCGAGTACCCATCCCTCCACCAGTGCCCACTCTCCACCCCCAATGATCCAGTATCCCTCCCCCTCTCCCCCCCCCATACTATCCCACCTCTGTGGTGGGGCATTCCCTTTTGTTCTCTCTCTCCTATTGGTTGCTGAGGTTTGCAAAAGAGGCACTGAGTGGCAATCATGTTCGGTCTATAATCGACTTTCAGCATGCATCTCCCATCCTGGGAGGATCCTCAAAACACCCTTTACTTGTTGTCCCCTTCTTTATCTGAGCTGTCCTTTCCCCTAGCATGTGTGACTGGCCTTCAAAAGCCATGGAGTGAACCTCCTGGTACTTATCTAGACTATTCTTGGATGTTATCTCCTATTTTGTTGCTTTATATTCCCCAGATTAATGCAATCTTTCTATGTCTGACCCTCTCTCTCTGACTCATTTCACTTCCTCTAAGTTCTTTTCTCATCCCTTCGAGATGGGGACAAGATGGAACAGTCCATCTGTCAAAAGCTTCAGTTTTTTGTTTGATATTTTTTGTTTGTTTGTTTTGGCATTGTACTCAGCATGCTCAGTGGGTTTTCCTGTCTCTATGCTCAGGGATCATGCCTGGTAAGGCTCAAGGGACCATATGGGATGCTGGGGATCGAACCCCATTAGGCCTTGTGCAAGGCAGGTGCCCTACTCACTTATTGCTCTAGCCTTTTCAGAGGATTAGTTTGGGAGTAGGTACTTCTTGATATCAGAGGTTGTCAGAGAAGGGTCATTTCAGTGTCAGTTTTGTTGTTATTGGGCCATACCCAGCTATGCACAGGGCCGACTTTTGGCCTTTTGCTCAGGGATCACCACTCCTGGCAGTGCTCAGAAACTATATGTGGTGTCAGGGGTTGAACGGGGGTTGACTTTATACTAGACAAGTGCTCCTGAACTGTCTCTCTGGTTCCAGTGACAAATTGTTGCACTCATTAGCAAAAGTTTAGAAAGCTACAGACCTGGAAACTGTCAGCCCTGAGAGGTGGCTTTGTGCTTGAGAGCATGAGAGGGAAAAGAGAGGCACAGGAGGCCGGGGGAGATGAGAGGGCAGAGGGAAGTTTCGGCACTGGCCGACGCTCTGTCCCCAGCTCCTCACTGCCTCCCCTGTGGTCTGCTGCCTCCAGGAGCGGCTATGAAGCGGCATCTCAGCACTTCAGTCCGGATGATCTGGACGTCCAAGTTTCTGGAAGAGCCTTCTTGGTCACAGGTGCGAACAGCGGCCTGGGGAAAACCACAGCCATGGAGATAGCCAAGCGAGGTGAGAGCCTGCCTCAGTGTATCCCAGTCCCCAGACATATCTGCTGCTTGCCCACACTGGGGCCACTGTCCTGCCCCAGTCAGCTCGGTGCTGCCCAGCACAACCGCGCTGGGAGCAGCTGCCCACTGCTGAGCTGTGCATGGAGACTGGAGTGAAGTGGATGTGGAAAGGCTGAGGAACTTTTCTTTAGCTCTGAATTCATTCAAAGGGGAGCCAGGATCCTGCGTGACCACAATTTCAAGCGGTGAGGGAACCATCAGCGGAACCTAAAAACCAATGATGCCCGGTGACTGTCTTCTCAACGAGAACGGAGGGAGTCCACAGCAGATTGATTATGTCCCCTAGTTGAAACCAGGGCTCCCTGATAACTGGCCAAGGCTTTGGACTTCCTCCCTCCTTGTCTTGGGGTTGCTGGAGGGTCCAGCCTGCAGGGTGGGGAGACTGGCCAGGGACTCCCGTATTTCTTCTTGACCTTCTTGGAAGAAGCCCTCAGGTGCCCTGTACATTCTTCCATCAGCTCATCTTGCTCCGGGTACATGCCAGTGTCCTGCAGTTTCCTACTTCCCGGGGGTACCCCAGACCACAACAGGGACTGGAAATGTCTGTCCTTTTTCCTCCAGCATCTCTTCTTCAGGAAAACTGATGTCCCTATGCAAGTTAGGGACATAGACTGGAAGCTGACCACTTTTCAAGCTGCTTGAGCTATTCCATCCCCAGTTCCCAAAATTTCAGTAGGTCCACCCCCACAAAAAAAAAAAAAAGCAAAAAAAGGGGCTGGAGTGATAGTACAACGGGTGGGGCATTTGCTTTGCACGCGACCAACCCGGGTTTGATTCACAGCATCCTATGTGGTCCCCTGAGCACCGCCAGGAGTAATTCCTGAGTGCATGAGCCAGGAGTAACCCCTGTGTATCGCCGAGTGTGACCCCACCCAAAAAAAAATTTCAGTTAGGCGTTTCTCAGAGCACCAGCGCGGCACCATTCAGAGCTCTGTTTAATTGTGCCCAGCATCAGGGCGGGGCAAGGACACCTTAGATCCCGAGAGGAAAGGGTCGTGCGAGGACGAGAAAGAAGAGGCAGCTGCTTACGGGGTGACCACATTTAATCAGCTGCTTCAAGTAACGAAAGCAGGTTGGTTCTGTCTGGGTTACTCTAAGTGGTGCCTCCCAGGCAAGCAGTAAACCGTGATTGGTGATGGTACGGCCTTTGCTGGAACGGTCTGAGTGCCACAGATGGGTTCGTACACTCAGTAAAAATTAATCAAGTCCTTGCTGGAAGTCAGGCTTTTGGTCCCCAGCTAGGATCCAACATTAGCCTCCCCCTGGGGGGCCAGTGACAGCCTACCTGGGCCTGGAGCTTTAAAATGCCCCTGGTGGAAAAGGCAGCTCAGATAGAGAAGGGAGCACCAAATAAAGGGGGTTGGGAGGATCCTCCCAGGATGGGAGAAGCATGCTGAAAGTAGACTATAGACTAAACATGATTGCTACCCAATGCCTCTTTTGCAAACCACAACACCCAAAAGGAGAGAGGTAGCAAAAGGGAATGCCCTGCCACAGAGGCAGGGTGGGATGGGGGGCTAGGGGGTGGGAAGGATACTGGGATCCGTGGTGGTGGGAAATGGGCACTAGTGGAGGGATGGGTATTTGATCATTGTATGATTGAAATCCAAGCACAAAGATTTGTAAGTCTACCACTGTACCCCATGGTGTTTCACTAATAAAAATTAATAAAATAAAATAAAATAAAATGCCCCTGGTAAGCAGGGCTGGGAAGATAATACAGCGGGTAAGGCACTTGCTTTGCATGCAGGTTCAATCTCCCACACCATGTAAGGATCCCTAAGAACCCCAGGAGTAAGCCCTGAGAACCACTAGGTATGGCCCAAAAGCTATGAATGAATGAATGAACGAATGAGTTGAAAGTGAAGCCAGGTGAAACCCTTGGTGTCGGCGCAGGTTGGCCTGCCAACTAGGAGCCGGGCAGACACAGTATACGTTCATGCCCTCGAACTTCAGAGTTCTCCAGAAAGCCCTGGAGGCAGAGCCCCTTATTACTCTGCCCACCCCCCTCACTGTGAGGATGATCAGGTGTCTGTTTCCCAGAGTTCCCCATTGCTTGGTCCTCCCCGTAGAAGCCAGGCCCCCACCTCTCCTGCTCACCCACCATTGTTTCATCCAATTCCACCAGGTGGCACAGTGCACCTGGTCTGCCGAGACGCTGCACGCTCGGAAACTGCCAAAAGTGAGATCCTCAGGGAGAGCGGTAACCAGGTAAGCTGCTCTGTACCGGTCTGCTGGGGGTTCCGGCCTGGAGGTCAGCTGCAGGCGCCCCCTGGGGGCAGGGAGCAGGGGTCAGAGGCCATGCCTGTGTTTGTGTTCCTGAGGGAGGACAGTCTCGGGTCGACCTGCAGCCTCACTTTGCCAAGTCAGCAGATGGGAGACATGTTACTGGACCTCACTGCAGGGAGAGGCATCCAGAGTGACCCAGGGGCTGCTCCCCAAGCTGAAGAGGGACGCAGTGTCCTTCCAGTGGAGAAACAGCTGGGGCTGGAGCGAGAGTACAACAGGCTGTTGCTTGTGGGAGACCCAGACTCGATTCCTGGTACCACCTGGTCCCCCAAGCGTGCCAGGAGTGACCCCAAGCATAAAGCAGCCAGCAGTCACTGCCAACAGACTACACCCAAGTATAGTCTGCCAGGTGTAGCCCCCCCTCCCCAAAATATTGCAAATAAATAAAGTAACACTGTAGCACTGTTCTCGCATTGTTCATTGATTTGCTCAAGGGGGCCCAGTAACGGTCTCCATCGTGATACTTGTTACTGTGTTTGGCATATCAAATCCGTCAGGGGTAGCTAGCCAGGCTTGCCGTGCGGGCGAGATACTCTCAGTAGCTTGCCGGGCTCTTCAAGAGGGGTGGAGGAATCAAACCTGGCCTGCCTGGGCCGGCCGCATGAAAGGCAAACGCCCTACCGTGGTGCTATCACTCCAGCCCAAATAAAGTAGCATAAAATAAAATATGCCTACCTATAGCATGGCTGACAGTCCCCTGAATCGAGGCTGTCAGCCCTGGATCACGTTTTTGTGCTCTTCCTCTTGAGAGAGAGTTAGAAATGGGACAGGTCACATTATATGTGGGGCCCAGTGGAAAATAAAAATATGAGGTTTAGAAAATGGAAGGGTTTCCAGCCTGACAGAACTCTGAAGCAGGTACAGCGTTCTCTGAGGATGGGAGCCAAGAGGATGCAGGGGCTGACCCCCAGAAAGTTGGCCCTGCATGGAAACTCTGAGCCATCGCTGTACAGTGGAGAGACAGAACCCAGGGGCATGACCTGTGGTTACCATGGGCTCACCTGCTGTCACAGAAAACATCTGTGCTTTCCGGAGTCTTATCCTGTCAACCTGCAACACCTCCGACCCCACTGGTGCCCACTACTCGGGGAGCCTGTGACACGGGAACAGACGGCCTGACCACATCTACCTCTCCTGTGCCCCACTGAAGACAAAACGTTTTCCCTGTGCTCAGGAAGGTCACTGTGATTTTCTTCTTCTTTTCTAAATGATGTTTCAAGGCCAGTGACTGTCCCCTTCTGTCTCACCAGACACCCATCACCTCCCTGCGTTGCCGAGACTGAAATGCTGCACGGAGGGTCTCTAAGCCTTCCTCTGCTGTCGGGGAACCCTGGGCGGGAATTGGATTTATGAGGAGAAAGCTGGCGTGAAGCTTCTGTTACACAGCTGAGCCCTTCTCCATCTTTGGGAAGGCTGAGAGGGGCCGGGTGGGAGAGAGACCATTGTGGCTGTTTCTGCAACACAAACTTCCATAGTTGGGATCAGAACAGTGCCCAGGGTCCAGGCCGAGTGACGGCATGCTAGGAGTTTGCTTCCCTGACTCCATGTGCCCTCCAGGTTGTGCCAAGGGTTTCATGACTCCCCCCTGTTCATCAGGGAGTCCCACTCGAAAGATTTGTCTATGCTCCACTACCACACACAGCCCCCCCCCCCCCCCCAAAACCGAGCAGGATGTGGAAGGCAGCTGAGGGCGGGTGGTAGAGCACTAGGCCTGAGAACTTGAGAGGTTCTTCCCACCCTCTTGGACCTCACCTTCCACCCCACAGCTCAGACGCTGGCGTATGAGCCCCACTGACAGAGGCACAAGTATCCCCGTCCTGTGGGAGACTCACCCTCCTCTTCCACGGCCTCCTACCAGCCACGTAGGGATGAGTAAGCAGCAACATCTATAGAGCACACAGATAAGGGCTCTCCTCGGTGGCTCCCAGGGCTACTTCCTGCTGGCTCTCTGGGGGCCTCAGGCTTCCTGTGTTCTCCCCAAGGAGGCAGATTCCCTCCTCTTTCTCTTGGTGTTTCATTTCACCCAGCTCCAGGTGGATTTGTCTGGGATGGTTAGACTCTCAGCTGTAGCTGCTCTCTTTCAACTCTGAGTCTACCCCGGGGTTTCTAGAAGAGCCCGGGGGCTTGCGAAACGTTCCTTGTCGAATCGAATTTACTTGAAATATGTTGTTTTTAAAGTACTCACAAGCTCAGCAACAGCAACAAACCGATAATCCCATCAACACACGGGAAGAAGAAATTCAGAGATGCTTCCATGCAGAAGGCGTATGAATGGCCACTGAGCATATTCAAAGTTGCTCATCATCACTGACGATCAGGGAAACACAACTCAAAACAACACTGCGGTATCATCTCACACCACTGAGAATGGCGTAATTTCAAAACACTGGGAAAAAGTGCTGAGGGGGGTATGATGGAAAAAAGAAATCCTCATTCACTGATAGTGGGATGGTGGCTTGGTCTTCTAGTCCAGCATCCATGGAAAATGTGGATTTGTCTCAGAAAAGAAAGAATAGAGCTCCCGTTTGACCCAGCTATTCCACTCCAAGCTATCTAAACTCCTCCCGAACACAAAACATTAATTTTAAAAATATGTATGCCGGTCAATATTCATTACAGCTCTAAGTACAATAGCTAGAATATAGAAGCAACCCAAATGTCCAGCAAGAGAGGAGTGGAAAAAGAAGTCGCATTTTATAGAAATACATAATGGAATACTACGCAGCAACATGAAAAAGTAAAAGTCAACACAGTTCACAGTCACTTGCATGGAATTGGAGGGTCTCATGCTGAGTGGATTCAGTCAGAGGCAGATGGACAACTACAGGATGATTGCATGCCCTGAGGCGTACAGAAACATATCAAGGACATAACATTATCAGTAATAAACCTTGGGTACTGGAATCCAGGCCAGAGAGTGCAGGTCGGGGGGGCAAGAGGGGAATGACTGGGTTGTTGGGAACTAACACGGAGCCTCAGTGGAGGGTCTTGAGTACATGGTGGTGCTAAGGCAGGCAACAGCATGCACCAGAACTAGAACTAGAATCGGCAGCTATTGGGGAGAATGGGGTGGGAGGTAGAATGTTGCCATTGAGGACATAGGGATGGAGAGGGGTACAGAGGATCATGGAAGAGCAGTAGCGAGGTGTGCAGGAACTCTGAACATCAAAGCCATAAATGTTTAATTCTGTTACCTTAACTATAGTTTTTTTTAAGTGTTTCTTTGCATGACCCTGCATTTTGAATGCGTGTGCCAAGTGGCACTGTTGGGCAAGGGGGCAAGTGGGGGAGGCTTTGGGGAGTATCAAAAAAGGGTTCAGGGGGCTGGACCAATAGCACAGCGGGTAGGACATTTGCCTTGCACGAGGCAGACCCGGCTTTGATTCCGAGTATCCTATATGGTCCCCTGGAGCAACCCCTGAGCATCGCTGGGTGTGACCCAAAAAGAGAAAGAAAAAGAAAGGAAAAAGAAAAGAAAGTGGCTCATAACGAAAGAATCAGGTGTCTGGACTCAATTGCAGGCCTTAGCAGAGGCTCATGACCTACCCAAGTAGGACCGTTATACCATCTTTGAGTGGAAAGTAAGTATGTCAGAAGACTTTGTTTTAAAAGAGCATAATCTTGGAGCTGGAGGAATAGTTGCAGTGGGTAGGCAACTTGCCTTGTGCTCAGTGGACTCTGGGTTGATCCCTGATATCCCATATGGTTCCTCTGAGCCCACCAAGAATAATCTCTGAGCACCAAGCCAGGAGTAAACCCTAAGCACTACCAGATGTAACCTCCCAAACAAAAAGAAGTAAGATGAAAAGAGCACAGTCTTGTACCAGCTGCACTTTGAAGACAGGAGTATTCACCTGTGTCAGACTTAGACCAAATGTAGCATCCAAGCTGACTACAGACCCTCCAGATTAGGCAAAGTTTCTACTTCTTCCATTTCTGTACCTTGTCTCAGGACAAAAAAAAAAGAATACAAAACAAAAAAACAAAACAAAACAGTGTTTTAAGATCAGTAGGGCTGGAGTAATAGCACAGTGGGTAGGGCGTTTGCCTTACATGCGGCTAACATGGCTGACCCGAGTTCGATTTCACTGCTCCTCTCAGAGAGCCCGGCAAGCTACTGAGAGTATCTCATCTGCACAGCAAAGCCTGGCAAGCTACCTGTGACGTATTCGATATGCCAAACACAGTAACAAGTCTCACAATGTTACTGGACTCGCTCGAGCAAATCAAAGAACAATGGGAGGATAGTGACAGTGACAGGGAAAAGAAGTCTAACCAAAGCTCTGGATTCTATGGCTCAGTGAAAGGGGAAACTGAGGCAGAGCGCCGAACTCTGCCTGACCAAGAGTATTGTGGGCAATGCTTAGTATCTTGCCTGTGGACCATGCTTTGGTCTCTTGGGCCCCTCCACCTGGGACTGGGGATCCATCACACTCACCTGCAGGAGCATTGGGGATACTGAACAGTCACTGGCTGCCTCAAATATAAGTGTGATTCATACATAGGGGCTGGAGGAACAGGGGGAGCAACAGCACACATTAATCACCGATATATAGGCCTGCGTGCACCGCCGTAAGGGGAAAGGAGGGCATTTGTCATGTGTCCCCTGCCAGGATTTCTGAGCCTGCCCAGGGGAAGCCAGAACACAGGCAGAAACAGATTGTCAGGGACTGAGTACAAAGGCAGCTAGCATCACCTTGCTACAGCATGCCTCACTCTCATCTGAAGAATGAAATATTGACAAAACCCATAAAGGATTTGGTGGGGAAAATGATGGCATATCCATGAAAAAGTATGAGCCACTGAATAGAAAAAAAGAATAGAGCCATTAAAGGGATTAAGGTAGATTTAATATAACAAAAAACCTCTCCAAAGCATATTAACTGAAAAGAAAGGATGAAAAACAGCAAAGAGTCTCATTCTATTTATGTAGAAAGGAGACACCGAGGGCAAATACCATGCCAATATGTATTTATATACATAAGGCTTTAATAATATGATATGCAGTCAAACACATGTGTCTATATGTGCTTAAAATGTTCCTGGTGATTGACAAGAAAATATAAACAACATTTTACTTTTAAGGACTTAAGACTTTAATATTCTATTTGATTTATTTTAAACTATTTAATGATAAAAATCATATAAATGGTTTGGCCCCTGGGTGCCTTTTTCCCATCCTCTCCTCCTGAAAACAAGCTTCCAGACCATAGAAGTGGGCAGTGGTCCTCAGAGGTCACTCCTGGTGCTGCTCAGGAGCCACATGCAGTGCCAAGGGTCAATCTGGGGCCAGTCATGTGCAACGCAAGTGCCCTAACCCCTGTACTATTGCTCTGGGTCCTTACACACATATAAATATACATATGATATATATGTTATGCACAGCGGTAGAGTGTTTGCCTTGCATGCAGCCAACATGGCCAACCCGAGTTCGATTCCTCCGCCCCTCTCGGAGAGCCTGGCAAGCTACCGAGAATATCTCGCCTGCACGGCAGAGCCTGGCAAGCTACCCGTGATGTATTCGATATGCCAGACACAGTAACAACAAAGTCTCCAATGGAGACGTTACTGGGCCTGCTCGAGCAAATCGATGAACAACGGGAGGACAGTGATATATGATATATATGGTATATATGATTTATATATAATATAATCATATATAATATGTAAAGTCACTGTTACTGTCCTGTTGTTCATCAATTTTGCTCAAGTGGGCCCAGTAACGTCTCCATTTTGAGACTTGTTGTTACTGTGTTTGGCATATCGAATACGTCATGGGTAGCTTGCCAGACTTTGCCGTGCAGGCGAGATACTCTCGGTAGCTTGCCGGGCTCTCCGAGAGGAGTGGAGGAATCGAACCCGGCTTGACCGAGCTGGCTGCTTGCAAGGCAAATGCCCTATTGCTGTGCTATCACTCCAGCCCAATACGTAAAATATATAAATATATTATGGATAACATACATATAATGGGCTGGAGTGATAGCACAGCGGTAGGGCATTTGCCTTGCAGGCAGCCAGCATGGCCTGTTGGAGTACACAGAGCTTAGGTTTATCAGGTTGCACCCATCACAGTGCTCCCGAGTCACTCCCATTACTTTGTCTGTCTGTAACCTCTTCTATGCTCTCTTCCCCAACCAATTTGTAAGGTCTCATCCTTCTTAGACACTGAAGCTGTACTGTAAGTAATATTGCCTTCCTCCTCTCCTTATGTCTTTTGAGCAGTTTAATGCAATGTCCTTTTGTATAGATGCAGGAAGACAATTAATTAATATGCTCGGTAACTTAGGAATTGATTGGCTTTGAATATTATTGGCTTTGAATATTATTCACTCCTGGGTGTCTGCCTTCTCAACTTAAGCCTCAGTTGCCCTCACTTCCTAGCACCCCAAGGGCAGGGTCCCAACGTGGGACTGGATGGAACCAGGGCAGACCGGTAAGTTATGTGCTACCTTGGCATCGCGATGGGCCAGGCCAAGGTGCCACGATTCTTAACTATAAGTTAAGAGGTTGATCATAGGCAAATGATGTCATGATCCAAAAGTAACGACGAGACTAGGGCCCTGCTGCTAGGAATAGGAAAGATATCTGGCCTGAGCACTGCAGTCTGAGATCGAGATGGCCCTAGGAGAGCAATTCTATAAGCTCAAAGTATTTCTTACTGTGTCCATACAAAATGATTAATATTATGTATGCTTATATGTTGGTTGGACAAGGAGAAACACATCCTAGAAGCAGTTTTCCTGTGTGTCCTGACTAGCTTGGATGAGACTGTTTTCTCCCCTTCAAACTGCCTTTAGTAAATGATTTCAGTATATTGAGGTAGTTTCTCTTATCTCACAGGAACCTAGCTGGCCTTAGGTATACAGTTCCCAGGTGCTAAGCCAGGCCTGGTCTTTGGGATGTAGATGCCTGACTCCAGGCTGGCTGATTTTGGGGATGTAGATTCCAAGCTCTAGCAGACTGGTCTTTGTTGTGCTAATCTAAATGCTTGTAGCTTGTAAAAAGGTGAGGCCAGGATTACTGGCCTGCGGATGTAAAGAAACAGTGTATGTTTTGCCTCAGTGTTCTTTCTGTAACTCCTTTTGATGACATCACTATATTGCCCCCTTTAGAGGTACTATGATCTATATAAGGGAGATTTCAGGGCTCTGGGGGGTGGGGGGGGGACACGTGCATCAGAGAACCTGGGAAATGGGGCTGAGGACAGAAGCTGAGAGAACAAAGGCCCACGTGCTTGAGGATTCCTGAGGCCTCCATGACATACATCTCTTCCATGTAATAAATGGCTGCTAAGACCAACCAGCTTGGCCTCGTTTCCTTCCTTCGCCTGACCATCGCCATCGACCTCCGTGGAGTGGGGAAAGGGCCTGACCGCCGGCCCCTTTTTATTTTTTGTGTGTTTACACAATGGCCAACCCAAGTTCGATTCCTCCACCCCTCTCGGAGAGCCCAGCAAGCTACCGAGAGTATCTCGCCGGAACGGCAAAGCCTGGCAAGCTACCCGTGACGAATTCGATATTCCAAACACAGTAACAATTATCAAAATAGAGATGTTACTGGGCCCGCTCAAGCAAATCGATGAACAACGGGAGGACAGTGACAGTGACATACATATAATATATAATTATAATTTTTTGACTAGGTAAATAATAATTTTTTATCATTAAGAATAGATGTATGACCTTTTTTCACCCGCTCTGGCTTAGAACATCTTTCTACACATCGTGGATTTATCTGATCCCAAGGAAATCTGGAAGTTTGTGGAGAATTTCAAGCAGGAGCATAAACTCAATGTTCTGGTAAGTTTTAAAAGCTTGCACAGGGCGTGTACATCTCATGTGTAGTGATGGACTGAAAGTACATGGGTGGGCATGTGGGGGCGACTCAGAGTCTTTTACCATGAGAAGTTTTATGTCGTCGTCTACTTGTGGCTTGGGTGTGTGAAGGGAGGGAGGAAGGGACATCTTCCTGCAGAAGCAGTGTGGAGGAAGCACACGTCCCATTTTCCATGGAATGAGGACTTGTGTGTCTGTATTTCTGAGCCCTGTAGATTTGGTGTATTACGATTAGAGGCTGTGGCAAAGTAAAGATCAAACACTCAGCTCAAAGGGATGCATGGGCCTGGCAAGCAGACCATTTTGCTCTTTTTTGTTGTGTGGATTTCACCGAGAGGTGGGACTCAGGTAAGTTGTTGGTTGTTGCTGTACACTCCCTCCAGACACCCTGCTTGGAGTTGAGCTGTGTCTCTGCCTCAGCGGTTTCAAATGTACTTCAGTGTATTCTCTTGGGCTAATATTTGCTTTGGGCATGGCTCCAAACGAATGGAGACTTCAGGTGACGCCTAGCTCAAGCTGAGATGTTCTGTAGAAACAGTGCTGAAGACTGAGTCTGAAAGAAAGGTCAGCTATCTCATTACTATCTGATGTCAACTAAATATATTTAATCAAATAAAATATATTGTTAAAGTGAATTTTGCAGGGATGGAGAGGAAACTCGACAGGCTGAGCCTCTATGTTGTATCTAAGAGGCCCTGGGTTGATTCCCGATCAGATTCCAGACCCCTCATCCCATATGGTCCCTGAACTCTGAGCGTCACCGGCAGTGATCCCTGGGAACAGAGTCAGGATAAAACTGTGGGCAAAATAGGGTGTGGCCAAATTTTTTTAAATTAATATGTGTGTGTGTGTGTGTGTGTGTGTGTGTGTGTGTGTGTGTATTTGGCATTTGGGGCTGCACCCAGCAGTAGTCAGGGAGTCCCCCTCCCTTTGTGCCTTAGTGTGGTGCTAGGGCTCTAATTTGAGCCTTCCAAATGCATGCTGTGCGTGCATTCAGCCTGTCCAGCTATTCTGGCCCTGCTATTATTATTATTATTATTATTATTATTATTATTATTATTATTTTGCTTTTTGGGTCACACCTGGCGATGCTCAGGGGTCACTCCTGGCTTTGCACTCAGGAGTCACTCCTGGCAGTGCTAGGAAGACCATATGGGATACTGGGAATCGAACCCGAGTTGGCCGCATGCAAGGCAAGCGCCCTACCCACTGTGCTATTGCTCCAGCCCCTCTGGCCCTGCTATTGACTCAATTTTTCTTTGTTTTTGCTTTTGGGGTCAGATCTACTAGTGCTCAGAGTTTACTCCTGGCTCTGTGCTCCAGAGTCACCCATGATGGTGCTCAGGAGACCATATGTAATACCAGGAAGTCAGGATTGAACAGTCTCAGCCATGTGCCAGGAAAGCGCCTTAACTCTGTACTATTCCCCCCCCCCTTTTTTTTAACTGTTTAAATGTAACTATACTCTAGAAAAGTTGAGATTTCTATTTCTTTTGGATCACAATGGTCTGGACAAATTCCCATAGAACTTTACCATGATTAAGTTGCCCTCTGAACTCTTGACCCAGTTCTGTGGCAGAGTCTTCTGCATAAGTTAGAGTTTTCCTGGGGGAAGTTTGGAGAGAAGGGACAGATGAGCAGATTTGTCATCGTCATCAGTGATGGGGCCAGTGGTGGTGGCACGGGCCTTAGAAACAGGTTCTCTGGCCCTCTTTCCCTTGATTTTGAAATGGGAACTGTAATTTTTAGATCAATAATGCAGGTTGCATGGTCAACAAAAGAGAGCTTACAGAAGACGGACTTGAAAAAAACTTTGCTACCAACACTCTAGGTAAGTCTAAATTGTTTTTTTTTTCTTTCTTACTAACTTGTTTTTAGCAAAAATTAACCAGATACAGATGATACCAAAGAAGGATTAGAAAAACATGAGCCAACATGTTGGGTTCTTGGCCCTAGGCCTAGTTATATTTGCTCCATATTTCACTGCATTTACTCTTCTTCATAAGACACTTTTTATGTTTTTTGTAATATGTTCAGTAATACTCAGCATTACTGAAAAATTTGCTTAGGGTTCAAAATCAGAGCAGTAGACACATTACATGGGAGCAAAGAACTAGTTCTCAGGTGAACATAAACACAATTGGAGTCAGGGGATGTCTGGCCAGGACTTAGGAAGGTACAGCCATGAGACAAGATGGACCAAGAAGGTTGCTGAACTAGACAGAGCACAAGGCCTGGCTGTGGAATGACAGGCCAGTGGTTCTCAAAGTAGAATCTCTGGGGCTGGAGCAGTAGGCACTTGCCTTGCACACGGCCAACCCTGGTTTGATCCTTGATGCTGCATATGCCCCCTGAGCACCACCAGGAATGGCCCCTGAACACAGAGGCAGGAATAACCCCAGAGCATCTCCAGGTGTGACCCAACCTCCTTCTAATCCCCAACCTGCCTGCATATCAAAACGGATATGCGGTATTCTCGGATCAGCTGTATTAGCATGGCCACAGAACTTGGTGGAAATGTATGTTTTCTTGGGCTTTGCCTCCACATCTGCTAAAGTCAAAACTGCAGCACGACTGAGAAATCTCTTCCAAGCTAACTTCAGATGGTTCTTGTACATACGAAGAGAATCAGCATTCCAACTCTAAATTTTCTTGGATTGTCTCTTTATTGAACCAAGGGACTCCTGTCACCTTGCTCCCCTGCCTTCACATTCTCAGACTCCTCAGTGTCACTAAAAGCTTAGGGTGTGATGTCCCCTTAGCAAGGGAGGGCAGGTAGACGGAGGTTTCCTTCTAGGACTCTTGCCTTCCCTGAGAGCATGGACAGGCACCACAATCTATAGGAATTGCCAGTTTGATTGTTCTGCTAGTTACTTGTACTTTTGCACAGATCTGGGCTGCAGCCAATGAGCTTTATAGCTCTTACCCTTTATTTCCTATTGGTGTTAGAAATCTTATTGATCTTTCCGACCTCAAGACGTAGTACAAAACATGCAACAAGGCAGGAGGCAGGCAGCTCAACGTGTCTCTGATGGATGAGGAGATGCAGGGAGGTTAAAATAGCATCAGTAGCACCCGGAGCAGCCCACATCTCGCTCTGAGTCCTAAGACTCTGCTGGCTGCCTTCCCGATCAGAAGCCTGTTTTCCCTGCTGAATGATGCAACACGGAATTGGTTGTTTTCAGATTTCTATGATCTCGTTTGACCTCTAGAAATGTTTCTAATTCTCAGCTAAACCTCAGTGTGGTTCCTGACATTTGGAACAAGGAACAGACCTGTTGGGTTTGCAGGCCCCAAGCTGGAGGGGGGTCTGGCAGGGAGGGATTGTATGTGACTGGGAGGGCAACTGTGTATGGCTCTTTGTTGAGATGTTTTGTGTGAATCAGTGAGGTTTAGAGATGCTGCTCCTTTGCATGCAGTGATGGGGCGGGGGTGGGGGGACAAGTGGCAGATGAAGGTATGGTGAGAGTTTAGCTGGCACGGAAGGTGCCACTGCACCCGGCTGAGCTGCAGGCCACTGCACTGAGGAGCTGAGGGGGCTCAGGGGGCAGATTCTGTTTGGCAGCTGGTCTCACCCCTGCACACCGGGTCTCCCCCCCATCACATACGTTTTGCCTGTTGGCATTCTGAGGCGCAGCCGTCGTCGCTGAGGAGTGAAGACAGATGGGACAGGGGGAGCCTGGCTGAGCATGCTGCTGGCAGTGTTCCACAGACCCTCATTGCCGCTGCCCTCAGCCCTGCCCTGAGATCTCCCAACACAGTCCTCCCAGGCTCCTGTGAATTGACTCCAATAACTGGGCAGGGCCAGACGTTCCACTTAGGTCATTCTGGGAGAACATACGTCAATGCACAGGAAATGTTCTGTCACTTGATGCTGCGGTATTTGCTGGTCTCTAGTCACTGGCCTATTCACACTGACAACTGCTCCTTCCAGTCGGGCCCCAGAGCCCAGGAACACCTCGAGAATAATAATAAGCGTGTCTGAACACATTTCATGTACCGGGCCAGCACCCAAAATTCTCTGGATTATCTCAGTCAATTTCCAGGACAACTTTACAGATTTAACAGACAGGAAACTGAGGGTTAGAAATCATCTGAAAACTGAGTCTGGGGAGGATGTGTCTTTTTGTTGTTTTTAATTTGAGGCATGTGATTTATAATTCCACTAATGATAGGTATCATGCATACAGTGTTGCCACACCACACCCGCCACTATTGTCTCAGGGTCCCCCTATCTGCCCAGTAACACCTCCCCGTCCAGTTCTGTAGGCCAGTTCTCAGGTTCTGTTGTCTTTGAGCATCTGTTGTTTCCTTACTGTGTTTCTGTATCTTCTCTGTACGATAAAGGTGATTATGTCTGTCACTCTCCAGAGTGACTGACTGCACTCAGCACCATCCCCTCCAGTTCTACCCACATAGCAGGAAATTGTGCAATTTCATCTTTTCTTACAGCCAAGTAGTATTCCATTGTGAAGATGTACCACCGTTTCTTTACCGGGTCATCTGTTTTTGGACATCACATTGTTCTCAGATCTTGGCTTTCGTGGAATTTCTGGGTCATGTGGAAGCTCCATTCTCAGTTTTTGAGAATTGTCCAGACTGTTTTATAAAGAGGTTGAGCTGGCTGACATTCCCACCCAGAGTAGGTATTCCACTTTCCCTCATTTGTCTCAAAGGACAGGCCTTTTCAAGCCCAGGACAACTGATAGTTGTACTGTCAGTTCATATTGCAGCCCAGCAAACAACTCCAGCATCTCAGAGCACATAATAATCCACATGTATTTTCTCCCAGGTGGGCTGGACTCAGCTGAGCTCACTGGAGCATCGGAAGCAGCGGGTTTGGCCTGAGCAGCTCCCAGAGTCTCCCAGTGCTGGGCTTCCGGCTGGCCAGGGCGCACTCCCTGGACAGTGGCAGCCCAGGTGTGTAAATGTGTCTCCAGCCCAGCTTGCTCTACCTCTTTCTCCATCCAATACGAGTCCTTTCACAGAGCCCGAAATCGAGAATCAGGAAAGCATTAAACTCTCACAAGAGTCTGTTTTTATTACATTCCAATTTTTCTTTGGGGAAAAAAAAATTAATCCAAAAAGGGAACAAGGCTGTAGAGCCGTAGAGGAAAGCAGACAGCTGTTCTCCCCTGGTACTTTTAATCAGCATGAGACACAGCTTCTTGTTTACTAGTCTTTCCCTTTGGAGCTGGGCTGACGTCTTTGTCCCAGACTGAATTCCCATGAATTTCAGCTTTCTCTTTCCAAGTGCTTGTTTCTCCCCCTGAATGCCTATTGGTTGTAATGTCCTCCTCACTTCTGATTATTTATGGTATGTTTCAGCATCTTGGAGGGACTGCCTGCCCCTTACTTGTCTTGTTCCGAAGACAATTTACCCAAAAGGATCGAGAGGTTAAGGGGGTGGGGGAGGTGAGGTAAATAGATTTCACAGGACAGGAGACTGGGAGGACAGAGACTCAGGAAACCACTGGCAGGGGCCCTTGACCCTTAGAAGGATTTAGAGATCCAGGACAAAGTTTTTGGACTTCAACTGTACTTTGGGGCTCTGTGCAGCCCTCGTAAGCAGGGAGCATTAATGAACCCCAAAGTCAAGATCTTTTACCTGCTGGTCCTTGGCTTTCTGCTAATGCTGAGGCACAAAAACGCCCTGGTGTTGAGTCCTCTGGGCCATGATGTGCCCACTCTGTACTCTGGGTGGCGGCAGCTCCCAGGGCAGACCCAGCTCGCTCTGTCTCTGGGACCACTTGCTCCCCGGCTCCTCTCCTAGCCTGCAAGCAAACAGCCATGATCTGGGATCTGTCGGGTGGCCAAGAACTGATCTGGTTATCTGGCTGCAATATGTTGCATATTTTATTTTATTTTTATTATTAAAAAATGGGTAGATATGGGGCTGGAGAAATAGTACAGGGGGTAGGGCACTTTAAATTTTTTTTTTATTAAATACCATGAGGTACAGTTGTAGACTTACAAATTTTTGTGCTTGGGTTTCAATTATGCAATGATCAAATACCCATCCCTCCACCAGTGCCCATTTCCCACCACCACGGATCCCAGTATCCCTCCTACCCCTCATCCCCCCATCCCACCCTGCCTCTGTGGCAGGGTATTCCCTTTTGTTCTCTCTCTCCTTTTGGGTGTTGTGGTTTGCAAAAGAGGCATTGAGTGGCAATCATGTTTGGTCTATAGTCTACTTTCAGCATGCTTCTCCCATCCTGGGAGGATCCTCCCAACACCCTTTATTTGGTGCTCCCTTCTCTATCTGAGCTTCCCCTAGCATGTGTGGCTAGCCTCCAAGCCATAGAGCAAACCTCCTGGTACTTATCCCGGCTATTCTTGGGTGTTAGTCTCCTATTTTGTTTCTTTATGTTGGGGGTAGGGCACTTGCCTTGAACGTGGCTGCCCCCGGTCTGATCCCTGGTATCCCACAGTCTTCCGAGCACCCCCAGGAGCAATTCCTGAGTGCCAAGCCAGGTGTTATCCCTGAGTATCACCAGGTGTGGCCCTGCTGAAATAAAAATAAAACAAAACAAAAAATAGATAGGGGCTGGAGTGATAATATCACAGGGTGTTAGTTTGCCTTGCACGCAGCCAACCTGGGTTTGATCCCCAACATCATACATCACCTGAGCTCTGCCAGGAGTAATTCCTGGGCGAAGAGTCCAGAATAAGCCCTGAGCACAGCTGTGTGTAGCCCCCAAATAAACAAATAAAAAGGATATTATCTCATTCCCCTCTCCTAAAACTGTGCTGGCTTCTCCCTCCCTCCCGTTTACTGGGGGGAAGATGTTGGGTCTGAGGCTACATTCAGTGTATTCAGGGCTTACT